GACTACCTGGGTATTATATGGCGGTGGCGGCCAGAAAGGGGATTGCCCTTTTCGTTCAGACACACAGTAGGTACTACTAGTAGTAGTAGTTGAAGTTCTCTCTGCCTTGATTTTGCCCTTGCCGCCCCCCTCTCTTATCACAGCTCCATATTGCCCGTACATAGGTACAGACGACAACAGACAGACATACGATGCGATACGATACGATAGGTATGATATGTCCACGATACTATGGCGACTATGGTATGGCGGTAAGGTATGGAGGTACACAATCCTTGTAGTACATGCACGCATGCATAGGTACGAAAGCAGCCCAACTCCACAGACGAACCTGCAACTGCAGCAGGCAAGGGATGGAAAGGCGGTGGCAGATTGCTGGGGGGCTGCATACATATCGCATGCGCCTCTTTTCGTCCCATGCATTGCCCGCCCACCAGTCGCCTGCTTGTTTCTCTCTCTTTTTGAGGAACAGGAACAGGGACAGGAGCAGGGACAACTGCACGAGCAAAGAGGGAACAGCTCATCAACGGCGCGCGTCCTGCTGGGTCCCCTTACCTTAATATTTGCCCTATGCAGATCATTTACCGCCCAGACAAAAACACTGAGACGGAGACGGAGAGAGAAGAAAGAAGAAGGTGAGTTGAGGCTTTCTGGCGAAATGCGTCCCGCGCTTCCGGGGGGGGGGGGGGGGGGGGGGGGGGGGCAGTTTGGCAGAGAGAGAGAGAGAGAGAGAGAGAGAGTCTTGTTGCGCTGGCATGAGACGGGGACGTTTTCAACTGAGACAGGGCATCGTTATGTTAGTATGTAAATTGTTACTGGCGGTGCATGTCTTGGAGGTTAATGTATATCCCAGCTTTGCTACTCGAGGCGGCATACAAACTACATAGCATATACTTGTATATGTATGACCTTGAGATGAAGTGAGTGATTAATAAAGCAATCAATGGAAGACGTGCAATGAGTGATTGTGATGGTATCAGTATCTCGTCTCCAGCTTTCGTCTCATCCAAGTCCGCCAAGCCCTCCGATATCAGCGCGTAACAGGCGATCGGTCATGCCTGAGCCCCGGGAGCTGCTGCTCCAGCTGCTACATACATATGTACTATTACTACTACTGCCGGCAACTCATGCGGGAGCCACCGACGGGGACCCTGTAAGGATAGGTACTCGTAGTAAAAAGAAAAAATAAAGGGAGGCGGGAGGCGGGAAAGACGCCAGAAAGTCACGCAGGACGGGACGACGGGACCAGCTCTCTCTTTTTTGTCGCCGGAGCGGAGAAGACGACAAGACAAGACACGGACGGGGCCAGGGCCAGGGGGCTGCTTCGTCTTGGTCTCTCCCGGGGTCGCTTTTTGTCTGTGGATTCCAGAGAAGCAAAGCACGGCGCAAAGTCGAGCTTTGGAAAACCTCCCCTCATCAATTACAGCAGCAAGCAGCAGGATTACTACCTCCAGGGCTAGTATATGGGAATCACCTGTAAAAGTACCTACATGCCTTCATGCATGCCTTACCGCAATGTCATATGTACAGGGCATACATACATACTGTACGTACATACATACATGCTCCTCCTCCTACATACTCCGTAACACCGCTTGCATCTCGTCTGTCGCGTCATTGCCGTGCGTTGCATCTGGGCGGTGTTTTGCCTGCAGCGTTTGCGCGCTTTTTGATATGGAGCAGCAGGAGAGGGTACATGTACCGAGTGCTGCGGACTGACTCAACTACAGTTGCCCCCGTAATAGGTACCTTTTGTTATACCTAACAGCAGTGCCCAACAGTAATAAAAGGTGGTGTAATACTTGTTTGTACGAGTATGTAGGTAGGTACGGAGAGAGGTCGAAACGGTCTCACGCTGCATCTGTTGCAAAGTCCCCTTCACATGAGCGGCGAGTGGGCGTCGAGTCCCTCTCATTAAATAGTAGCTCGGATAGTGGCAACGGGGAAGCGGGATGAATTCATTTCCTCTGCCTCCAGCTTCATCTCTCGACTCCGTAATTGATCCTGACTACTACTACTACTACTACTGTATGCACCAACCACTATTGCCTGCTTGGCCCAACTAGGTACCTGAGGCGCAGCACAACGGGGTCGCATCGGATCGATTACTATCATCACAGCAATCAATTGAGAATCAATAATCCGTCAACAAACGGTATTATTACGGAGCAACAGTAGGTTAGTAATTTTACCTCGACTTCAAGTCGCTGACAATCTACTTACCTTCTTACCTAAGGTACACAGCACCCAAGAAGTACCGAGTACGGGGTCCGGGATCTGGCGAGCCACGTATTTCCGCGCCGCCCCGGTTGCGTCTGCGAGGGTACCAAGTACATGGTTCGGGGGGCTCCGCAGCTGCATCAAATCCGCCACAGCAGAGCAAGGGGGGGATTTCATGATACCGCCTTTCCTGACCCGCGCTCTTTTGCGCTGTTGCAATTTAACTGGCAGAGAGGGGGAGGGGCAGTATTAGTCTGTACTGTACTGTAGAGAAAAAGCAACGAAGGCGGAGCGAAGCAAAGACAAAGAGAGAGACAAAGAGAGAGAGAGAGAGAGAGAGAGAGAGAGAGAGAGTGTGTGTGTGTGTGCGTGCGCGCGCAAGGACAGAGCCAAGGTATGTAGGAAAGGCGGTAATGATACAACATGAAGACAGCATGCGAAGCAACTTCCTGGGAAGCCATCCCGCCATTGAACTCCTCACGGGGCGCCATCGGAGCTTGCGGTGAAGACAATTATACATGTGATCTCGGGCCCTCGTGTAAGACAACTCTGACCTCAAAGTCGCCTGTTGCGTTTGGGCGTGCAGGGCAGGGCATGGGCACACGTTGTCTCAGCCATTACCTCAGGCTGCGGTAATTTTCGACCTGCTCTCTCGGCCGCAAACAGCTGCCCGCGTGGGTGCTGTGCTTCTTCTTGGCTCTACTTGTACTTGTTCGTGTCTCGTAATACAACTACCTGACAGACAGGTAAAAAGGAGCAGCAAGCTCGTAATAATGTCGCTGTTGGCCGCCTTTCGTTACAGAATGTACTCGCACGGCCGGCCGCGCCAATGGTAGACGAGAGTACGAGCAATTTCACAGGGAGTGGCTGGGGGGGGTTGATATTGCACAAGTACACCAGCAGCGCAAACATGCTGCGGGAGGTACATGCGGCGGGAGGAGCCATCAATTTCGCTGGATGGAAATAGTGCTCCATGGGTCGGTCCATGGGTTCTGCCTGGGTTCCCCCCCCCCTGCCTGCTCCCCACAGCCCATTGACGTTGGCAAGGGTTGTGATGGGCGGGCGGAACGTCTGGAAAGGCTGTCGAAGGCTCCGTCGCCGCTTGGTGTCGCGTCCACGTGCCTCGCAATGCCCGAGGGGGGCTAATAAGCAGGAGAGAGAGGCAGAGAGAGGGAGAGAGAGGGAGAGAGAGAGATGAAGAGGCAGCGGTTTTGATTACTGACAGCGTCGATCGCTTCGGTGACTACTATGTACCTATGTATGATCGATGGCTCGATTGATGGATTGATCGATACACTGACAGTGACGCGAGGAAAAGGAGGGGGATGACGCTTTGATGCTGGAGGCTTGGAGCCGGGCGAAGGATCGTGGGTTAATTAATGACGAGTCCATTCAAACAGTCTGTGAGATGGAAGACAGGAGAAGAGAACAACATGAACCAAGTATTCTTAGTCGCCAGCCAGGAAACGGCAGCCGGCGCAACCGTTTTGGCGGCTGCAGCAGGAATCTGGCCGACTTCAAGCTGGATTCAACAGAGCAGGACGAACCTCGAACAAGCCACGTCCGTTTGCGACTCCCATCGCTTCCGCGCCTCGCTTCGCTCGAGTCCATGTTGTCTTTTGAATACTAACATCCGACTCTTTCCTCTGCGCCAGTTCAGTTTTTTGTGCCCGTTCGCCACCAAAGGCCGCCGTCTGATCCAGATGCAACCAAGCCAACATCCATCCTCCAGTCTCCATAACACCGCCTTGGCCGCAATGGATCCGAACATACATAACCTGAACGCAGCTGCAACTGGAGCAGCGCAATCAGACCCCGGCCCAGCGCTACTGGCTGACCCCCTACCGGCTCCCGGGCCATACCGCCAAACCGCCCTCCAGCGCCTCTCAGCAGCGCCGCATCCAGCCTGCGCCGGTGCCTGTTCCAGCGCCATTTAGAGGCCCCTCCTCCCCCCCCCAGTCCCCCGGACCACCGCCATATTGCCTGGTACTACTACTACTAGGTATCCTCGGCCTCACCTCTTCGTGGCCCATCGCCATCTCCAACCCCAACTAGTCACCGGCTCCTCTCATAACCATACCTATCCCCTCCCTTGTCCACGCCCCGTTTTCCTCCTTTTTCCCTCTTTGCCCTCCCCCCCCCGGACCACGCCAGGCCTTGTTCTTTCGTTCTCTTGCATCGTTTGGGTCCTTTGGGGTGCGTTTCCGGGAGCCCAGTGCAGACGCTTTGGTGGAGCTTCGCAGTCGGTCACCGTGTAACTCGTTCGCTCCCAGCTGCAGCTCCCAGGAACCACGGCAACGATGGCTTGCAGTCGGTGTAGGTAATATTAGCATGCTAGCCACTGCGTGTCCGGACGAAACGACTTTGCGGGCATCCGACAGGGGGTGCTGCTTGGGATTGCAATCCGAAACTTAAAACAAGAGAGCCAGGAGGAAGAAGAAGCATCGTCGAAGCCGCATCCATCGTCCCTCTTGTCGTACAGCTTCAATACCTGACCTCACGTTACCTTGCCTCTTCCTCTTCCTTTTACTACTACTACTACTACTACCTTGTCCCATGTACCCAGCTCTGCCTTGAGAAGAGAAGCTTCCCATTCTGCTCTCCGTCTTGGCTGGCTGGCTGGCAGTTTCTGTATAATCAATCCTTCAATCATCTTGTCTCTCGGTCCATCCTCACCAGCTCATCACACGCCATACACACCAACACGAGGACACACATACAGACACACACATACACGCAGACACACACACACACATCTACCTAATCTGCCCGCGGCAGCCATGGCTTCATTACAGACGCAGCCGTCGGGCCTGAGCGGCGCCGGCAAGCTCACCAAGTCGCGCAGCCGCATCGTCGTCAAGCCCATCCTCAAGCGGCTGCACCACGTCCACTCGCACTCGGAGCGCAACTCGCTCGACCTCAACCGCGGCTGGGACGACCAGCCCGTGGCCACGACGCCCGAGCTCGAGTACGGCTCCTTCGACTTTGGCGCGCGCGACCTCGACGACCTGAGCGCCGACCGCCGCCTGTATTCCACCTACGCAGCTGCGCCAGCCGCCGGCGCAAAGCTCGCGCGCGACGTCAGCTTCACCAGCCTGTCCAAGACCAAGCCGGACCTGGGCGCCGCGCCGCCTGGCCTCGCCCGCGCAAACACCTTCTCCTTCTCCCCAGCCTCGCACGCCCGCTCGACCAGCGGCAACTCAGTCTCGGCCGCCGCCGCCGCCACCACCCGCGCCGGCTCCTTCGTCCACCCCTTCCAGCAGATGCCCCGGACCTCGACGCCGCCGCTGCACTCGTACGCAAACTCCCTCTCCTCGCTCGACGGCGGCCTCACCGCCCAGCAGCAGCGCGACCTGACCTCGGCCATTGCCGAGAGCAGCGACAGCAGAAACAGCAGCAGCAACAGCAGCAGCAGCAGCAGCAGCAGCGACGACGACGACGACAACAGGCCGAACCTCGACGAGCCGCCGCTGGCCTCGCAGTCTGGCGAGGAGGCTTCCAACCGGGCCGCTTCCGCCGCCACAAACTCCAAGAAGCTGTCCTACTCCTCCAGCCTGCGCTCAAACTCGCCCGCCTCCAAGCCCGCGGCGCCTCCTGGCCGCCACTCGCTCTCCGGGCGACCCTCGCTGTCCGGCAGCCAGCGCACCAGCTCAGATGGGCCGTCGGTCAGGGCCGCCACCACTCGCTCCAACTCGGGCCCTTCTGTACAACGTCTCACCCAGGCCGCTGTGAATCACCAGTCCGCGTTGGCAAACGACTCCTCATCTTCCAATGCCGCCTCCGTTCCCTTGCTCATCTCCACCACCCAGCAGAAGACGGCCTCCAACCCGGTCTGCTCAACCTCGCCCATCTCCCCCTTTCGCACGTCGCTGGACATGAACGGCTTCCGCCTGCGCTCCCGGAGCGAGATGGACTCGTCCACCCGCCAGGAGCAGGTCCGCGAGGCCCGCCGCAAGTTCGAGGCCAAGGAGAAGGAGAAGGAGGAAAAGTACGCCCGCGAGCAGATCAAGAAGCGCGAGCGCGCCGACGCCAAGGAGGCTCACAAGATTGAGCGCGCCCAGGCCCAGAAGCGCAAGACGAGCTTTGGCTACACCACGCCCATCTCCAGCGCCAGGAACTCGTCCAGCGTCCGCGAGAAGACCGAGTCTGATCCTCTCAACGGCAGCCAGCCCCAAGAGGCCCCCTCCCGGAGCAAGTCGGCCAAGCGCAGGACAAACAGCCTTTGGACCGCATTCATGCTCTGGCTGAGAACCCGTCTGCTCAAGCTGGCGAGACGACAGCGATGAGTGCACGTTTCACCAAACCATCACCCAACATCAGATATATCTGCATAGCTCTCTCACCATCCGCTCATCCCCCCCCTTCAATTCTCTCTTCTCATCGAATCACACAACTACCATTACCGAGAGCATTGCGCTGGGTCGAGCCGACAACTTGCATAATAACGAACTCATATCTCACCTTTTTCACGGCCCATTGACCCAGATGGGGAGCAACAGGCCCCAGGGCGCGCGCGCAGCATCATCTGGGAATTGCCGTTTCATTTTCCTCTCTAATTACCATTTTGATTTTCCATTCACGCGAATCACAATTGCGAGGCGTTACGGATCCGGAAGAGTACAAGCATCGGGAGGGGCATGTTTGAACTTTTATTCTTTTTTTTTTTTTTTTTTTTCTTTTCTGTTCTTGACTCTGGTACTTCCATCGAGTCTTACGAATTTTCTTTTTCTCTACATCTGACGCCCATCATATCCGTTGGGGTCGTTTACGAATTGCATACAGGAGGAAATACACATTTTTGAAAGGGCACATGTGCTTTTTTTGGAGGGGGGGGAGGAACATTAGAAGACTTTTTGACATTTCCTTGGCCAAGGCCAGGAGGAGAGATTCAACATAGGCGACATGCAGTTGGACACAAGCCCGTATGGACAGACCATTGATCTTTTGGTGGGGGAAAGGCGACGAATACCCCATGTCTTGGTGCCATATTGGAAGATTGGGCTTCTTGTTCGGGACTTTCTTTTACGGACCGCTTTTCTTTGGAAACAGGTGCCGTTTGGATGGCGATGATGACGATGATGATGAGCATCTGGGGGAGATGGGATGGCTTGCATGGGGAGGGAGGGTTGAGGAACTCGGAAGCATTAGCATCATCTGTCTGTAGGCGATTCTGAGTGGTGTGTGAAAAGAAATACGAACAAGTTGCCAATCAATTCCGTCTTTTTGATATTCGTGCATGCAGTATTTCGACGACTTTTTTTTTTCCCCTCTCTTCAGTGTTTTGCTTGTTTACAATTCTTTTGTTTACTTTACACGTTGGAGATTTGCGTGTGGCTTATACGCCATGCAAAGCCATGTAACTCTGCCGAAATCCAGACGCCGCCATTGGACCGATTGTCGAAGCCTCATCAACAAACTATGTAGGCAATTCACAGCTGAGCGCGATGGACGTTCGCTTTGTTTCTTCTCTTTTTTATTTTTTTTTGTGTCCGGCTCTGTGTCTTGTTTTTGGTTGATCTGGTTGCCGTTCTAGTAAGTGGTGGAGTTTTATATCATTACAGCTCGGTTCCGGTTGGTGTTATATTTGGATTGGAGAGCGCGCGCGCGCGCGAATGAGATTGATGTTGTGTGGGATGATCATCAGGGGCGCAGGGATGATCGGGGCGCGTGGATTGGATTGGTCCTGGAGATATGATTTGTTTCCTGATTTGTTGGTTTGGGGGGGTGGTGAGGGTTGCAGTGAGTGAGGTTTGGGGGGTGGGATCGGTGAGGCTCGGTGAAGGGTTGATACAGTAAGTGCCGATATGAGTGATGGCCTTGTCTTATAACACAACCGCTTCACTGTCAACATGAACTGGAAACTGTCTGGCGAATGGTATCAATCAATCTCAACTTGTATGTAGATCCTCATATTTGATCACTCAAGCATTGCTCCCTCAAATCTTCGCCTTTGGCCTCACGTCCACGGGCGTCCACCAGGGATACCCCGGCGGCGCATCGTCGTCAATGGTATCCTTAAACTCGGGCTTCCTCTTTTGCAAAAAGCTCTCGATGCCCTCCTTGGCGTCCTTGCTCCTGACGAGGGAGTAGAACATCTTGCTCTCCACGAGATGGGCCTCCTCGGGCGACGCCGGCGTGCGGAAGATTTGATTCTTCATCACCGCGGCCGACACCATGCTCACGTTGGCGGCAATGTCCTCTGCGATGCCGAGCGCCGTGGGGAGCACCTTGGCGGCGTCGTCGACGACGTCGCTGAAGAGCCCGTCGAGGAGCCCGTGGCCGGCCGGGTAGACGGCACCCGTGGTGGCGAGGTGCAGGGCGCGGGCGGCGCCGACGAGGCGCGGCAGGAAGAAGCTGGAGCAGGCCTCGAGGCAGAAGCCGCGGCGGGCGAAGACGAAGCCGACCTTGGCGTCCCTGGAGGCGATGCGGATGCTGGCGGGGAGCGTCATTGTGATGCCGACGCCGACGGCGGAGCCGTTGATGGCGGCGATGACGGGCTTCGCGCAGCGGTACATGGCGAGGCTGACCTGGCCGCCCTCGTCGCGGTGCGTGTCGGGGGACGTGCCGGACGGTCCGCCGCCGCCGGCGTTGAAGTCCATGCCCGCGCAGAAGAACTTGTTGGACGGGTCGGAGGAGGTGAGGACGATGGCCTTGACGCGCGGGTCGGCGGACAGGAGGTCGAAGGCGGAGATGAGCGAGGTGGCCATTTCGGCTGTGAAGGCGTTGCGGGCCTGCGGGCGGTGGAGCTTGATGATGATGACGGGGGTGACGGAGGGGGAGGACGATGGGTGGTGGGAGAGCTGGAGGGTTGGGAGGGCGAGGGTGTTGTAGCTCTGGGGGAGGCTGGCTGCCATTGCTGCGGCTGAGCTTGGTTGTCGGAGGTTGGAGGGGGAGGAGGAGGAGGTTGTTGTTGTTGTTGTTGTTGTTGTCGTGATGGGATGGGGGATGTTGAGATGGGTGTTGTTGAGGAGGCTTGGGCGGATGGGTTTGCGCGGATGAAGTGAGGCCGGGATGAGTTTGTAGAGACGAGAGATTCTATTCATATGAGATGCTGGTCAGAGCAGGGCCAGAATGAGGGTCTGGGCATGCGGGGCTTGAGATGGAGTCGGCGATGCATGAGATGAGGGTGAGGTTGTGTGTGTTCCAAGTCGGGAGCGTGTCACTGCTGACAGTCTAGGGTCCTGGAGCCGTTGCCGTTGGACCTCGGCTGCCCCACCGCGGCCCGGGAGTCCTGCAGCTTCGTAGCCCGTGAGCGGACTCGGTACTTATCGTATTACTACTTGATTACAGGAATCAATGGTCTGAGCTGACTTCACGTGTCATTGAGGAGAGAGTTCACGTAAGGCATCTTATAGCAAAGATGATTACTTGTACAAAGAAGAGCCCCATGCTGTGTTAGTGCCCAAGAGCAGAAGAAGAAGAAGAAGAAGCAGTGGACCTTTTGATCCCTTGTCGAAGTCCAAGCTGCTCCCCGGGCCATTAGCAGAGCTAGACTGACTTCAATGGCAGCCAATGAAAAGACATTGTTCCTCTCAAAAGACGAAGCATGGAATGATGTCTTCCCCTGCGCACTACAAGTGCCTTGTTAAGCTCAGTACTCACTGTACGGCATCAATGAAGAAGCCTCCAGTTTGACACTTTCCCACAAGTCCCCAACAATCGAACTTGTCGCGTCTGATGCTCAACGAATCTCGAACGTCCAGCACGTGACACAGTGCCATGTCATCTCCAGCCTTCGACTCCATACTGCCCGTATAATGGCGGGGCCGGGCAGCCTCAAAACCGCAACCCATCTTTTTCCACCCGGAACGGCCTCCGTGATCCTCCCCCCGAACCTCCCCCCCACGACACCCGCCCGGCAGGCACTGCGACGGAAGCCATGGGCTATCGCTGGGAAGAGCACCGGGAGACGTGCTACCGCCTGTACATCGAGCAGGGCTGGCCCCTCGAGCGCATCATGGCGTATCTGCAGAGCAGCGCCGGCTTCACCCCAAGGTACTGTGACGGCTAATGCATCTCCTTCTCTTCCTCTTCCTCTTCCTCTTCCTCTTCGTCCGTGCCAGGTATATGCTCGTGTATCGTCAAGCTGTGGAAGCCAGCTGGAAGTACAAGGAACGATGATGTCGATACGATGGTGTCTATAGTGCCATTGTTGGAAACGCAACCAGCCGGTGATGCAGCTAACACTGTGGCAGTCGACGGGCCTTCCAGGACCAGTTCCGGCGCTGGGACTTTCCTCCCAAGGTAAAGAGCCATGATCAGGACGGCAGCTTGGTGGCCCGCGTCAGGGAGCTGTGGGAGATGAACCTGACGCAGAGAGGCATGACCCAGATGCTTCGACAGGAAGGCTTCCTGGTGACTTCGGCGGACGTGGCCAAGCTGCGCGGCAGGATCGGGCTGCAGATGCGCGGGCCCAACGTAGAAAAGCCCAAGTTCGAGTTTCAGGGTGAGTCTCAACAGCTGGAGACTGAGGATTCCGGCGGCTCGATAGACGTCCCTTTCCCTCTGCGTCCCGAGGGGGGCGTGCCCATGTCGCGGACCATCTCGACGCAGTCATCTTCCTCCTCGTCGCTCTTTCATCGTGATCCAGAGCCTCTCGAACACAGGGACGCGAAGAAGCGCAGGACAGGCAGGAAGGACACCCCTGGGACCACCGCCCGATACCCTTCCGAGATGACGCTCGACGACGCCCGAAGAAAGCTGGGCCTGGACAAGGCCGCCTATCGTTCGCTCCGTGACGTCTTTACTAGAGTCTGCGCCACCCTCAACATCAGCAGGAAGATGGACGAGCCCGAGAAGTGGGAGTCTGCAAAGACGCGGCTGATGCATGACCTGCCCATGCTCTACGAGAAGCTGTGCACGCCTCGTGACGAGCTGGAGATGAAGCAGGTCGCCCTCGACGCCATCTGCAAAGACGTCGCAAAGTCGAAGCGATACACGGAATCCAAAATGACACAGATGGAAGCCAAGATGGCACTGCGCATCAACCCTCAGGAGGCTAGGGAAATGCGCCTCGTCCTGACGGAGCTGCTGGAGGCATTCGGCTTTGCCAACAAGCCCGACGGCACGCTTGCGCCTACGCCTACGCCTCAGCAATGGGATGAACTCAAGGGCCTGTGGGGTCAACGCTCGGGGCCGGTTCGCAGGATCTTGAGCGAGATACGCTCTGGCCAGGGCGAAGGCTCAAAGAAGGCAAAGGCCCTGGATTCCTTGGCCCGAGACATCTTGAAGAGGCTGCGCGATAACCGCCCGGACAGGCACTCCAGGAAGCAGCAGCAGACCGACCGGGCTTCCACGGAGGCGCGCCAATCGCACGCGAGTCCTCTGCAGGGGATCGATTCGCATCCCGATCCTCATTCGTCTGCTGGTCCGACGGACCTGGGGCATGGCTTGTCAACAGCCACATCCCAGCCTTACACCGATGGCTTGCCGGCGCGGGACGACGACGTCAACCCGCTGGTAGGCACTTCACTGGATCCGGGGCTTCACTTACCGGCAACCACATATCACGAAACGCCTGAGGCTCAGTTTACTTCTTCCTACACTGCCGGCATGCTTCGTCCGGACAGCGGCGCCATGTCGCACTACCTGCCTGCTGCTCCTCTGGAGCCTCATGGCTTCACCTGGCATCGACCACAGCATCCGTCCGTCCCTCCCCAGCCAATCTACACTCCTGCGGTGACGTCCAACGTCCCTTCACCCCCGGCGGCTGAGCAACCGTTACTCTTCCCAGCAGACGTACACGCAGGGTTGCTAACCGAGCCCTACGCCACCCAGCCGCCGTCTGCGCCGATGCTGCCTCATGGGGCCTCGACGCCCGCCCCAGGGGAGGTCACAGTCTATTTTGCTTCACATCCCTCTTCTATCTACGGAGTTGAGACGCCGTTTTGGGTGGACATGATTGGCTCACAGACGATGGAAGGGGTTCAGCAGGCTGTAGCGAACAGGTTCCCCGGCGCGGCCTGCTTGAATGTCTACGGCGTGTTTACGCACAACGGCGGAGAGTCCATTCCGTTGAACGACGACTACGATCTAACCGGGTACCTCTCGTCGGTCAAGCCACCCATGCTCAGCGTTCAGCTGGTGCATGAACTGCCATGATGAGCCGTTGCCGTCTTTCTGAGTGTTATGCATGGCGTGTTGGTGCCCTCTTGATGATTGATGATTCGTTTTTTTTTTTTTTTTGGGTCGATGTAGATTTTATCTGATTGGCTTGGACATGTTTGATGTTTTTGCCTCAATACCCATTTTGTTTGATCGATGAGTTGACCATGTGTCTGATCGATACCCACCCTGTTCTATTCCCGGGGCACTGTTTACTCTGTTTTTATCTATGTGGGTTTGGATATGGAAGGATCGGGAGTTTGATATGATACAAGAGGTTCAGTCTACGAGTCAACGACAATGAGAACCACAGCTTGTTACTTGTGAACTGCAACATGAGTCAACTAGGTAGAATCGAGCACCTGACGCTTGGATGGTCACTGGGAGTCATGGTTGGACTTTATACCGGGATAGACAGGAGATGCGTTCTAGACACCAGGTGGATAGATGCGATAAGCATTCTCTAAGCCCAAATTCCATATCACCTACTACTGCCATGCTTCTGATGGCACGTCGATTCAGTAATAACAGAAGAAGGCCCCAAAGAGTTGCGAATGTCGAGGCAATGCAGGCATTTGATATCCGAACTTGACCGACCCGCCGCTAACGGTTCCTTGTCCCACCCCCACCATGGCCAACGCAAAAGCTAAGCTTTCGCATCTTCACCAACTTGCGACAACCCTCAAATGCAAGGCCGAACAGCCTGAGCGCCCCCGATCTCCGAAATTGTCCCCCCTCTCGCATGCGTCTGTAGCCTCGATATACGGCCCTCGAATCGACAGAACCGAGACACGAGACCCAATGCTCAGGTGCGGCTCGGCGGCGCAACCGCTGCGCGCACAGGCTCTCCGGCGCCTGGCCGCGGTGCCTCGTCCCGGAGCGGCGGCAGCAGCGCGACACTATGCGACAGAGATTGAGCCCGAGAGGCCCAAGCCGGCGACGCGGCAGGGCGGCAACGAGCAGAAGCTGGGGCGGTCGTTCCAGGGGCAGGTCATGGGCAGCATCGGCGCGCGGCTGAGGCGCGAGCGGGAGCAGAGGGAGCAGTACGAGAAGTGGCGGGACATGAATGACCCGGCGAGGAACTGGATGATTACTTTCTGTACGTTTTCAATGGGGGGGCCGTGTTGCTGCTTGGAGTAGGTATATATACGTGGCTGTGAGCACGGCAACTGACCATTTGCTTTTCTCAATAATAGTCTTCTTGTCGAGCGTCGGTATAGCCTACTGGCTGGGCACGTACTGGCCGCGCGACCCGGAGCCGACGTCGACGCTGCCGCTGTCCAAGGTGCGGCCGCTGACGCACAACGTCAAGCTGGAGAACATGCAGGCGGCGTGGGCCGACTTTGTCAAGATTGTGGGCAAGGACAACGTCTCGACGGACGAGGACCAGGTGAGGGCGCACGCGACGTCGGACTGGTCGACGCACGTGGCCGGGCCGGACGAGCGGCCGTTTTGCGTCGTGTATCCGGGGTCGACGGAGGAGGTGGCCGAGATCATGAAGGTGTGCCATCGGCGGAGGATCCCGGTCACGGCGTACAGCGGGGGCACGAGCCTGGAGGGCCATTTCACGCCGACGAAGAAGGGCATCTCGATTGACTTTGGGCGGATGGACAAGATCCTCGCGCTGCACGAGGACGACCTGGACGTGGTGGTCCAGCCGGCCGTCGGCTGGGAGGAGCTGAACAATGCGCTCTCCGACAAGGGCCTGTTCTTCCCTCCCGACCCGGGCCCGGGCGCCATGATTGGGGGCATGGTCGGGACGGGATGCAGCGGGACGAACGCGTACAGGTATGGCACGATGCGGGAGTGGGTTCTGAGCCTGACGGTCGTCATGGCGGACGGCACCGTTGTCAAGACCAGGCAGCGGCCGCGCAAGAGCTCCGCCGGCTACGACCTCACCAAGCTGTTCATCGGGTCCGAGGGCACCCTCGGCCTGGTGACGGAGGCCACGCTCAAGCTCACGGTCAAGCCCGAGTCGACGAGCGTCGCCATCTGCTCGTTCCCCAGCATCCACCACGCGGCCACCTGCGTGAGCAAGGTCGTCGGCAAGGGCATCCCCGTGGCCGCCGTGGAGATACTCGACGACGTGCAGATGAAGTGCATCAACGCCTCCCAGGCGACGTCGCGCACGTGGGCCGAGGCCCCGACGCTCTTCTTCAAGTTCGCGGGCACGCCGCTGGGCGTCAAGGAGCAGGTCGCGCAGGTCCAGGCGCTGGCGGCGCAGGCGGGCAGCAGGACGTTTGAGTTTGCCCGCAGCGAGGCCGAGCGCGAGGAGCTGTGGAGCGCGAGAAAGGAGGCCCTCTGGAGCACAATGGCCATGAAGAAGGAGGGCGACCACGTGTGGACGGGCGACGTGGCCGTGCCGATGAGCAGGCTGCCGCAGCTCATTGAGGAGACCAAGGCGGACATTCAGAGGAGCGGGCTGTTTGCCTCGATTGTTGGGCATGTGGGGGATGGCAACTTTCACAGTGAGTTGAGCTGCTGCTGCTGCTGCTGCTGCTGGGAGGGGGCTTTGGTTATGCGGAGGTTTGCTGACTGCGGGAATAGCTATTCTGTTGTATAACGATGCGCAGCGGAAGAAGGCTGAGACGGTTGTTTCACGAATGGTCAAGCGGGCTGTTGAGCTCGAGGGCACGGTCACGGTAAGTCGAAGATGCATTCATCAACCCCAATTTCCTGGGCAGGAGAATACAAGCCTCCTGGTGCTGACATGGGCAATAGGGCGAACATGGCGTTGGCTTGGGTAAGAGGGATTACCTGCCTCACGAACTGGGCGAGACGACGGTGGATGCGATGCGCCAGGTAAGTCGATGAAGAATCACACCTCCTGAAGCTAAATGCGAGCTGTTGTTGACATGGCGATGATGCAGATCAAAAAGGCATTTGATCCGTTGTGCCTGTTGAACTGCGACAAGGTGATTCGCGCGCAAAAGCCCAAGAGCGGCGAGGTCAAGGAGTGGTGAGGGGGGTTGTGTGTTGTTGGCGTCAAGCCGACATTGTGAGAGAATCTGTACTATTACATGCGGTGAGTGTTGCTGCAACAACATGATGGATTTGTTAGACGAGATGCAATACTACTACCTTGTTTACGATCAAAGCTGTCTGTCTGCTCTGTCAACCTCTCAAGCGTCTCTACAAACCTTTTGTTCATCTCTCACCTCTCTCATGTCTCTCTCGTCTCCATGTCTCTTCCAAGTCAACGCTGCTGCTTATCTAATCAGTCCCCGGACCCAAACGCCATGCCGTCATCCGGCACCCCTTGAGCTGGTCCCTGCGCCAACTCCAAGCTCGTGACACTGGCCAGCTGCCAAACAAGCCTCCCGACCCCGGCATTCCAGCGTCTTTTCGGTCTCTTCTTAGTCCACAACTGCCGCATGAACTGACCTTGAGCAACCATTTCCCTCCTCGCCGAACGACTCTACAGAAGCTTTCATCTCCTGAACGGCAACAAAATAAGGCGAACCGTCCTATCAACCGTCCCGCCATACAGCCAAAGCAAGACTGTTTGTCACTGCGTTTACCAAACCCCGCCGACCCCCCTTGGGTCTGTCGCGTCCCTCACCATCTCTCTCTCTCTCTCCATGTCGCTCTTTACCGCACAGCTTCATCCCGGACGGGCTCTGGGGTTCTTCAGTCAGCGAAACTCTACTGCCAGTCAACTGTCTGTGCGAAGCTAACCCCGCCGTGTCTTTCCAGCCCTCGGCGCGTCCCTCCACGATGTCCTGACCCGCGTCAAGGCCGAACCGCAAGCGTTCCCGAAGCTCGAGGTCCTCTACTCCCGCGACCAGCCCGTCACCGAGCCCGTATGCGTCGTGCTGCCGCAGAACGGCATCAGGCTGCGCTTCGACGGGCCCGAGCAGCGCCTGCGCCTCATCGAGGTCATCGACTTTACAAAGAGCCACATCACCTTCAAGGACCGCGATCTGGTACGGCCGGCCGGCACCGGCGCCGCCGCCGCTGCTGAGGTGCCCGGGGAGTCGTCGGCGGGGCCTACCTTTCGGCACATCTACCATCGACTACTAGGGCCGACGTACGCGGGCGAGTTCATCCCCCCCGCGGGATCATCGTCGCAGGGCAACGGGACGTATGTGCTGTCGTATCCCGGCGTGGCGTTCAACTTTTCCGTGCCCACGTCGGCGTACTCCGCGGACAAGGACGTCGTCTCGCTGCTCTCCGCGTCGTCGTCACAGGTGGCGACCTCCATGGCCGTCTTCAGCGGCAACTCTTGGGCAGAAGTCCGGCCGACGCTGTGGACGGAGGTGCTGCCGAGCGTCAAGGTGACGTCGACGACGCCTCGCGGCAAGGACGTGTACCCCGACGAGGTGTCCCTGGTGCGGCTGCACGGCGGAGGCAAGATTCAGCTGTTTCGGAAATGGACGCCCAACTCCTTCTGGATCATCCTGGGCGAGACGACGCCGCAGGACATTGTGGCGGAGCTGGGCCCGCCGAATGCGATTTACCGCAAGAACGACCAGAAGATGGTGATTCACAAGATGCGCGCCGCCAGCAGCAACGCGCATGGGCGTCCGACCGTCAAGGACCTGGCAGGTCGGCCGGACGAGTCGACGGACACGGACCAGTCCTCCATGCACACCGGGTCTGACGAGTCGGACAACGAGGCCGCGGTGGAAGACGAGGGCGGGGAGAATGCGTCGGGGGAGTGCTTCTACAACTACTTTTACTTTGGCTTCGACATCCTCATGTCCACGCCCGCGCCGCCGTCGATGCTGCCGCCGGGCGAGACGCAGGTGCCGGACGACGTGGGCAACGGCATCAAGAACCACGCGCCCGACCGGCTGGTGGCGACGAAGCTGGTGCTCCACGGCAACATCCCCGGCTCGTACGAGTTCAACCGGCACCGGCGCTGCCGCTGGGAGATTAGCTACCTGGACGACTTGGTCGGGGACGGCGGGCACGTCGACTCGGAGATGGAGTTTAAGGCGATTGAGAGCCTGATGCGGAGGAAGTGGGAGGGCGCGTATCCCTCGGCGGCGGCGGGCGACAAGGCGCAGCAGCAGCAGCAGCAGCAGCAGCAGCAGCCGCGGCAAGGGGGTATGGTCCTGAACCGCGGCTGGGGGGACAGCCCGGGCAGCAGCTGCGAGTTTTTGGGCGGCTGGGAGGAGAGCGGGGCGAGGAGGCCCGAGGCGAATAACGGGGATTCGACGACGACGCTGTATGGCTTTCCGGGGATGGTGTTTGAGGTTTTGAGGAATGATTATGTCAATACCGTCACGGTGTTTTGAAAGAGGCCTGGAATACGGGGTCTGAGGGGCGTTTGTGCATTTGTATGCTTGGGTACTTTTGGGAGCGAGTAGGTACGTTAGTTATATGAGGTCTTGTTTCTATCTCGTTTGGTGTTGGGTGGATTATAGGATACGATACAGATTACCCGAGGCTGTGAACCTACATTGAACTCTGGTTCTATGCTGCCTTTGTGTTCTTTCTAGCGTTCCCAAGTGACTTGGTAGAAGGTAATGTCGTTACTCTACCTTGTGTATATATCTTGTTTCTTTCTTCAACGTATAGCTGAGGTGGCTTGGTTGTAGAGCTTTAATCGTCTCCAGATGACCTGACGAGCATACTTATGTTGCCTACCAACTGTTCATGCATATGATGGGAAGCAGCTTGCTAAATCTCTCTAAGCAGAACTGACTACATCCTGGTATTGATGGCACATGAATCATTGGCATATCTGGACATAGGTAGTTTGTGTTGATATGCTACGTAAGTCAACGATACTTCCGTCCATCCCGGTAGACAGAATACATAGCCATGTCGATTGATGTTTCCTTGACATTGAGGGTCAGATAGTAGACTCAAAATCCTCTTTCATCCGTCAAAGTCCACCCGCCCATCATCGGACATCAATCTGAAAGGCCGGAAGTATGTGTGCTTTAGAGAATATGATCCTGTACTTCGGGTATAATAGTTGGCATCGCAGCCTCACAGTGAGTACTCTTCTTCTTCGTCTTCTTCTTCTTCTCTTCTTTTGCGGAAGGCTTGTTTTGCGGTGAAGTACGAGCTTTTTTAGCTCTCGGCAAAGGCTCCAACTTCACTTGTAGCTCTTTTTCGAGAATGGCACTGATCTCTGGATGCTTTGCTGCGTATCGAGCTGCATAATTGGCGATAGAATTGCCTTGGACGTTTGCGTGTCCCCGAACCCAGTGTAGCTCGACCTCCACTCCCTTTCGGTGCAGATATTGAGACATGGCAATGAGCTCCCTGACAATCCTATCCCCAAGCAATGGGGAGTCAGCAGCGATAGCACCTTGAAGCTTCTTTAAGATTCGCAGAGCACTTGTACAATCTGAAAGTATTTTCACTCTGATCTTTGCCCCGGCGTCATCAGAATCTCGTCGATCACATCTCTCGAAAAGATCCGTGTCAACCGCGGCAACCTTTAAGCCATCCAGAATAGCAACGAGCTCGACCCGGACAATATTCTGCTCACACTCTGACGGAGCAAAGTATCTCTCTACCCACGGCTGGTTCGGTTCTAGAGGCTTGTAAACGACGGCTGCGCCAGAATAAGTGACCACAGATCCCGACTCTGCTTCTGTTATGATGAAGCGAGAGCCATCTACAAAGAATATGAGGTGACGTTTGTCGGTGTTCTCTTTGAAGACAGTCGTTGCCCTCTCAGTAGCGTTGTCCGTGAGGTCTATGAAGATCTTGCCGCGGAAGCCGAGTTTGCGGTTAACATTGAGCTTGGCTCTCTTCGAAAGGAAGCCACCATTTGCCTTGTTGTCTATGAGGGACTTGACGTAGGACTCGGCTTCAAGCTTGAGGGCCTCGTCTCTGACTTGTGCGCTATCACTTAGCCGCACTCTTGTTGGTTGAGAATTGCTCTCTGCTGACGAGGTCTTAGATTCAATGTCCGTCTGAGTGCAGAAACTGCGACTTGAAGGGCACTGAATCGGGAGAGATGCCGAGGGGAAGATCGTATTGCTCGCACAGCGTTTGGTGGTTATCAACAACGAATGGTGGTTCAGAACCTCTGTCACTGTGCTGAAAGATGGTCGCCTGGGATATACTTGGAAGTTTGCCTGTTTTCTATGGGTTAGACAGCCACCTCGACCGGGAATCCAGTGCTCGATACATACAATCTCGGTGCGCCCCCTGCGCCGCTGAGCGAAGCGTCCGATCATCGCTGATTATCTCTCGACGTTCAGGGTTTTCAAAGACACTGCTTGGTATGGCGTAGTCCAGCTTAGGTACCGCACCCAAATCCAGACAGCTTGAAGCCATTCACACACTCTCCATCCGTAGAAGTGCTGGTGACAGTCGCTGGGACGGAATTGTGCGGATGAATCTGGACCGAATCTGGTAGTCGGCCTCCCAAGTTGCCCTCTGATTGTGAGACATGCTGCTGAGGCAACTTGCAACCCTTAACGGAAGTCATTGTAATGCCTGTGGTAGTACGAAGCACTGCAAAGGCGCTGAATCTGAGCTTGTTGTGAACATAAAAGTGAGGCTGTTAGTGAATGCCTAAGTGAGAACAATGTCACGGGTTGGCCATCGTGCCTGCCGGAAGTCTCCGTATTCGGGATTTGCTTCCGATCAGCAACCCAGGGCAGGAACTGGCTGGCTGGCTGTAACTGCCTTGATTAGCTGCGGCAGGGGCAGGAAAACAAGCAGCTGCCTTCCAAATCGCGTGCAGCCGCAGCTTATCGGATGCGACCTTGCCAAGATCATTCTTTGCAGTGCGAATGCATGGTCCCCTCTCGTGCAACCTGACAAGAGCGGGATGAGCCTCAGCAAAAGAGAAATTTCTAACGGACTGTTACAGGGGAGTCTACAGGATTGCCGCGCGCGGGGCTGCAAGTCTGACCAACGTCTATCCCATTCAGTGCAGAGGTGTGATGAGATGTGATTCGATATGAAGCGGTGCGTTTATTGGATCCAGAGGATGGCATCTACAGTACTTACCAGTGCCTGACCCAGCTCTTCTGTTCTCTGCTGTCGCCGGACCGCTGCGGATCGAATACACGAATAGAGACAAGCAACGCTGGCACGAGTCACTGCTTTCGACGTCTTACAGCCGTGCCACCATAGAATCAACACCACAGGGGTGCGAGATTCTGCGTCGACTCGGTTCGCTGTTCGGACTTTGCAATGACCGGTGCGCAGAGACGAGACGGTTTGGATGCTGGCATCGGCAAACGCTACTCTTCTTCACATAGGCAAAGGGGACCCTCCCAAACCAGCAGCCCAATCAATTATTGCCGGCTCCTTAAACCCACGGCCTAATGCTCGAGCTACTGGAAGCCTCCTACAAGCGGAACTGCGAGCGAGAGCCAGCCGCCTCCATTGGCCCATCTCACAAACCCAATGCTGGCACCCGCTCTCGGCCGATGCAATGGGACCGGGTAGGAGGGCCAGTGCTCACTTGGCCCCCACTGGCTGAGAAAAAGATCCAACTTTGGGCTGAGTGGTGCCAACTCCAGCCCGGAAGGCGTCTTTTGCGGTGAGGGATGGAGCTGCCAGCTGTTCAGAGAATTGGACGGGTCATTCAGTGACTCCTTGCAGGCAAGCAAGAGGGCAAACACCAATGGTCAGCATCCACGCCCATCGCAGAGCCACGCGCCAAGCAGCACCGACGACAGCGGGCGCGGTGGACGGCGATAGACGGGTGCAGAGTTCGCACGAGGCTGCTCTTGCGTCTCGAGGCAGATGATCAGTGCAGCGCCAGTCTTTGATGAATCATCGTTGCTGATGCGCTTCTCGAGGGCTCCAAGACTCGCGCTTGTCCCGTGCCGGTTTCCGGGCTTCGGCCAAGGCCCATGCCGAACCCACGCAGTCCACCTTCGTACATACGAAGTACGAAAAGCCCGGTGTTTAGTGGGCCGGCCGATGAGATTTGGTATTTCTTCGTCGTCTTCTTGTGATGACAAACGCAAATGCTTGACGCATCTTACCGTTCCTTTTTTACCTTCTCTGCTGGGGAGGCGAGGCGACCAACTTATGCGCTACCATTCTATATAGTAATAGCATCCCCCCCTTCGACACAACCATCTTGTTTTGCCCATCCTCAAACTTTTCCATCTTACTACTTCTTTTCTGCCCCCTTTCCTTGGGCTTCCCTTGTCCGACCTGCGCTCGACAAGTCGCGAGTCTCCCTGCCTCAGTTGCCTCGAAGCCAAGACGGGCCAAGAAAAAAGAGATCCAGGAGGAGTCGCCACGAGGACCGGCCTTCATCTTGCCACGCGAAGGCTCCACCAAAAAGTCTCGGCCGCCGAACCCTAACCCATCGAGTTCCTGTTCCTGTCTCAGAAAACCGTTGACGCCTCATTATGGCTGTCGACCAAGCCACAACGCCAGATAGGCGCACCAGCTCAGATGAAACGGTCAACCCTGCACGCAGCACCGATGGCGAGATCAAGGCCATTGAGGCTGGCGATGGCATTGGTAAAGAGTTGGGGGAGGGCGACATTGGCGTCTCACCAGTAGGTCACGGTGATGAGGCACCGGCATCAACATCACCAAAGGCAGCGGAAGCTGGAGGTCCCCCAGCACAGCAATCACCGGCAGACGAGCCCGAAGCCAGCCGGACAAACATTGAGACGTTCCTCATCATCTTTGCCCTGTGCCTGGCGCTGTTCTTGGCGGCGCTCGACATGACCATCATCACCACTGCCATCCCGACCATCTCCAATCACTTTGGCTCAAGCGCCGGCTACGTCTGGATCGGAAGTGCCTATCTGCTTGGCAACGCCGCGTTCGTGCCCACATGGGGCAAGATATCCGACATCTTCGGCCGCAAGCCCACGCTCATCGCTACCGTCACCATCTTCTGGATCGGTTCGCTGCTATGCGCCGTCAGCACCAGCATGGGCATGCTCATCGCTGCCCGTGCCATCCAGGGCGTTGGCGGAGGCGGCACCATTGTTCTCCCGAACATCTGCATCTCTGACCTCTTTTCCATGCGCAAGCGAGGCATGTACTTTGGCATCCTCGGCATGGTTTGGGCCCTCGCTTCGGCCATTGGGCCCATTCTCGGCGGTGTCTTCACCAGCAAGGTTTCGTGGAGATGGTGCTTCTACATCAACCTGCCTCTGGGTGGCATTGGGCTGCTCATCCTCATCTTCGTCCTCAAGCTGCACAACCCTCGCACGCCTGTCAAGCAGGGACTGGCTGCCATCGACTGGGCCGGCAACGTCCTCATCATCGGCGGCACGCTCATGCTGCTCTTTGGGCTTGAGTTTGGCGGCGTTCAGTTTCCCTGGAAGTCCGCGACCGTCATCTGCCTCATCGTTTTTGGCTTCATCACCATTGCCCTCTTTGGCTTGTACGAGAACCGAGTCGCCAAGTTCCCCGTCATGCCCACTCGCCTTTTCCGTGGCAGGACCAGCATTGCCGCCTATGGCCTGTCTATCATGCACGCCATGACCTTCATGTCCGGCAGCTACTGGCTTCCCCTCTACTTCCAGGCCGTCTTGGGCGCCACGTCCCTCCTCTCCGGCGTCTACATTCTGCCGTATGTCCTGGCCCTGTCCATCACGTCTGCCCTGACGGGTGTCTTTATCAAGAAGACTGGCAACTACAAGATCCCCATCGTGTCAGGACTGACCATTATGACTCTGGGCTTTGGTCTGTTCATCGATCTGGGCGCCAAGGCGAACTGGGCCAAGATCATCATCTTCCAGATCATTGCCGGTATCGGTGTCGGTCCCAACTTCCAGTCTCCCCTGATTGCTCTGCAGACCAACGTCGAGCCCCGCGATATTGGAGCCGCAACCGCCAGCTTCCAGTTTCTCCGCCAGCTCGGAACATCTACCTCTGTTGTCATCGGCGGCGTCATCTTCGACAATGAGATGCAGAAGCAGCAAGCCCAGCTCATTCGCGAGCTTGGGCCTGATTTGGCCAGCAAGCTCTCCGGCTCTGAGGCTGCGTCAAGCGTGTTCCTGGTGGCCAGCCTCAAGGGCCATCAGCGTGAGGTGGCCCAGACTGCTTACTGGAACGCCATGCAAAAGATGTTTATCGCTTACACATGTTTCGTCTTCGTCGGTCTTCTCATCAGCTTCTTTGTGAAGCAGAAGACGCTCAGCAAGCAGCACACGGAGCACAAGACGGGCCTCAACTCCCTCAAGCAAGAGACTAAGAAGAAGCCAGTCGATGTCGAAAAGGCCGTCGACGTTGCTGAATAAGCATGCTCGTCTTTGATACAAAAGTTCAATTTTTTTTTCTTTGGGTATTGGCGTTGATATGGGTTGAAAAGGGACGAGGCATCGCGAAGATATCCAGCTTAGATACGTACTGGCAGAGGAGCTGTGGAGAGTGCCTCCTCCTGCCCCTGCATTTTGCATATGGTTTAGAGTCTTGCATATATACGTTGATCTAGTACTCACTACTTTAATAACAACTATATCACTACTGATTTTCGCTCATTATTGAGAACCACCGTCCGTGAAGTCACTTCAAGATGGGCTCGACGAAGTCCAATAATACTTCACTAGCAAAATGTCGTTGCTGTGGCGACTGGATTTTGTGACCCATTGATTGAGCCAAATTGCGTTAGGCTTACGGTACTTGCGGTGCGGGCATATTCATTAGCGTCGACAAGTACCTGCACCTAAGCCGCCTGTCAGTTACTTCCGCGGTACCCTCTTGTGTCCGATCTAGAGAGCAGTCCTTCAACACAGCACTTGGTGTCGCATACGAGGTCCAGATCGAGTACACAATCTCTCCCAATCGTCAACCTTTCAATACACTTTGTCCAATATCCTTTCAATACACTTTGTCCAATATCTATGCTATCTCTCTGATCTGTTATTGTCAGCCCCAAGCCTCTGACTAGTAATAGGTACGGTTGACAGCATCAGTACGAAGCACCTGCATTTCCCTGCACTCCACACCGGCAAGAAAAGTATTGTATCGGTACCTCCTAATCGCCCAATGCTCCACCGCTTTATCCCCGCCAAGGGAATTACAATCAACAACAACAGCACCCAGCACTCTTACCTAGGTGCACACACACATACCTCTGTACACATACCTTACGGCAGAATTTGAACGAACCCCAAAGGCCAGTATCGGCAGCTGGTGGCCTCATACCGCTGTCAGCATGGCTCACCCTCGAACACGCGCCGATCGAGAGCCCACGCGGCCGACAATGAGCTCGTCGTCGGGCATCCGACCGGGCGCCGGCATGCGCAGCAGCAGCACGCGTCTCAACGGCACACGATCCTCGTCGGCGGTCCCGACGAACCGACACCTGGCGACCGCGTCCCGAGGCGGCGACCGGACGAGCGCCATGTCCCCCGCGGAGCCGTCGACGGCGATTGGGACGAAGCGCAAGGAGCGCGACTTTGAGGCGGCGGACGTCATGGTGGGCGGCGGGGAGGAGACCAACATCAACGTCGTGGTGCGGTGTCGCGGGCGCAGCCAGAGGGAGGTCAAGGAGAACAGCACCGTGGTGGTGAATGCGGACGGCGTCAAGGGGCAGGTGATTGAGCTGTCCATGGGCGCAAACGCGCTGAGCAACAAGACGTATAGCTTTGACCGCGTGTTTTCGCCGGCGGCGGATCAGTCAATGGTGTTTGACGATGTGGTGAAGCCCATCTTGGAGGAGGTTGGTCTTTTTTGTTCCCTTCCTGGATCTCTCCTCTGACACTTGGCTGTGCGAGATATTGCTTCAGGAAGTGGTGTTTAAGGCACATGCTAACGAGGAGGTCTGTCACAGATGCTCGCTGGCTACAACTGCACGATATTTGCCTACGGCCAGACGGGGACGGGCAAGACGTACACCATGTCGGGGGACATGTCCGACACACTGGGCATGCTGTCTGACGAGGCCGGCATCATCCCCCGCGTCCTGCAGCAGCTGTTTGACAAGCTCGAGAACGAAAACACCGACAACTGCGTCAAGTGCTCCTTCATCGAACTATACAACGAAGAGCTCCGGGATTTGCTCTCCACCGACGAGAGCGCAAAGCTCAAGATCTACGACGACGCCTCAAGACGAGGCCATGCGACTACGCTTGTTCAGGGCATGGAGGAAAAGCACATCAAAAATGCGGCCGAGGGAATCAAGGTGCTCCAGGAGGGCAGCCTGAAGCGCCAGGTTGCCGCCACCAAGTGCAACGACTTGAGTTCTCGAAGTCACACCGTCTTCACCATTACGGCCTACGTCAAGAGCTCAAACGATCAGGGGGTGGAGGAACTCGTGAGCGCCGGCAAGCTGAACCTGGTGGACCTGGCTGGCAGCGAAAACATTCAGAGATCGGGCGCGGAGAACAAGCGAGCTACCGAGGCCGGCTTGATCAACAAATCGCTGCTCACCCTGGGCCGAGTCATCAATGCGCTGGTGGACCACAGCCCTCACATCCCCTACCGGGAGTCGAAACTGACCCGTCTGCTGCAAGACTCGTTAGGGGGGCGAACCAAGACATGCATCATTGCCACCATTTCTCCCTCAAAGAGCAACCTCGAAGAAACGATCTCAACACTCGAATATGCCTTTCGCGCCAAAAACATACGAAACAAGCCTCAGATGCATATGATGTCCAAAAAGATGCTCCTGAGGGACTTTACTGTCGAGATTGAGAAGCTAAAGAGTGAGCTGATATCCACAAGGCAGCGCAACGGCGTGTACCTATCCAACGAAATGTTCGAGGAAATGACCGCACAGAGCGAGTCGAGGAGGATAGTGCTGGAGGAGAAGAGCGCGCGTCTCGAGACATTGGAGGCAAATCTGCGGAACAAGGTCCAAGAGCTCTTTTCCCTCAACATCTCCTTTATGGGTATGAAGAAAGACCACGAGGCGACCAAGGCGCAGCTGGACGAGACACAAGGTCTTCTCGACCAGACAGACATTGTTCTCGCCGCGACCCGAAAGACGTTGGAAGAGGAGACGGAGCGGCGCAAGGCTCACGAGGAGACGGAGGAGAAGCTGACGGAGATTGGCAGCGTGCTGATTGACAAGCTGCAGAAGACGGTCAAGGATGTCAATGGTCTGCACGCAAAGAATAAGCGCAAATCGGATCTGCACTTACTCAACCGGACGGCCTGGAGCTCATCCCAGTCTCAGGTGGCAGAGGTAACGTCAATGGTGGAGCGACGGGTTCGTGTGTTCCAGGAGGAGCAGCAGGAACAAATCCTGAGCGTATCGAGAAGAATGGAGACGTTTGTGCAGGAAGAATTACAGAAGCTTTCCGCCACCCAGGCCTTTCTGGAGGAGAACTTTGACGCCTTTGCAGAGTCCAAGAGACAGCTCCTCGAGCAGAAGCAGAAATCCAAGGACGACATGGACGAGGTGCTGGAGGAGATCAAGGAGGTTCGCGACAACGTTAAAGAACGAGTCGGCGAAAGTCTGCAAGCTATTGCACAGGCCGCAGAGAAGATTGCTGGCGACGTGTTGAATGAGATGACAGAGTTCCACGACCAGCTTCACACCTCGTACAGCTCCCTGGGCAAGGATTTCAAGTCCATCTTTGAAGAGCTCGTCCGGCACATTACCGCTCAGCGCTGCGAGTCCGACAACCTGAGGAGACAGCTGCAGAGCGCCACAAACACCATTATGCTACAGAATGCCAACATTTCGACCCGCATGCAGGAGGCGTTGGAAGAAGAGAGGCGACAAGCGGCCGAGGAGCGCCAAAAGCTTCTCGGTCAAATCTCAGCCTTGATCAACTCGCAGGCCGAAGCACAGGAGAGCCGCTTCGCAGAGAGGACCTCGCAGATCCAGAAGAACATGGCTGACTACAACGCATCCCTCGAGGGTGCCATCACTCAGTACGGTCAAGGCATGGACGTGTGGGACGGAAAGGAGGGCGAGCTGCTGGAGGAGGTGAAGAAGTCGCGCGATCAGCTCAAGACGAAGCTGAAGGACGACTGGAACTCAGCCGAAGGCCGCAGCAACTCGATTCGGAGCACGGCGAACCAAGTCCACGCCGAGACCGTGCGCGTCGTGGGCGCTCAGATCGACGACCTGGACCTGCAGATGGAAGCTATGGACGACTTTGTGACTCGTGCCAAGTCTGAGAGCAACACCCACCACGAGACACACATGCAGTCTATTCAGGCGCTGTCGAACACAGTGGATCAATCGTTTGGCAACATCTCAGCTCACTTCAAGACCACCTTTGATCGCGTCAAGAACCTCGGCGAGGCCATGGATCTTGACGCCGGCGATCTGCATGACAGCCTTGAGCCTCTGACGGCGCAAATATGCCAACCTCTTTCAGCCCTGCGCGAACAGATTGGCAAGACGGCGCTTCAGGATTACCGGCCGACCGGGGAGACTCCCCAGAAAGCGCAATACCATTTCCCTACAAGCTTGCCTCGTACTGAGACGCACGCCGCCCTCAACTTCAAGAGCGGCGGCAACTCTCCTAACCCCAATGAGGCCGGTGAAGGAGATGCCGACGAGGACAACGACACCCTTGTCTTTACCGACCTCGACACCTCTTCCAAGACCACAAGCTCACCCCCACGTCCCTCGATTGAGAGCATCTCGGATAAGAGCGCAAGCCTGCGCGAAGTCAATCCCAACATCTCCAGTCTCGCCTCCAGCGTCATCTCCTTCGAGTCCGGCTCGAGCACCATGTCCGCCGCGTCGGGGGACTCCATGCCGCTGTATAAGCGCAGCGCTCGTTCCACGCGGGCGAGCTTGCGGAAGCATAGTCTGCTTCCCGAGGGCCGTGAGAATTTGCCTATGACGGCTCTGGCGGAGAGCATGGCGAGGAGAAAGAGCCCGCGGATCAACTGATGAGGCTTCGTCTGATTGACCTTGGTCTAACAGAGGAGAAATGTGGTCTTTGTTGTTTATCTATATGGGAGAAAAGGATCTCTTTTGCCTACATTTTCAAAGGGTGCACATGTATCAATGCCCTTCATTGGCATTGTTTGCGCCTTTTTTTTTCACTTTCCTTTTGTCTGTTCCAGAGGGAAGGATTTGCTGGGCGGGAACTAAATCACGGAGTTTGGGTTGGTCATGAGCGATGCAGAGCGCAACTGTCTTTTTCCATTTTCTTCTTCTTCACCTTTTGTTTCGTCGACTATACGATACAAATACAGAGCCCAAGGTTGGATTTACCGTTCTGAGGGAGAGAGGGTGACAACTTGGGGGCCTGCGTGATACTTATGGGAGGCTTCTCCTTTTTCTTTTCTTCTCTTTTCTTTCTTTTATTTCCCCCTTCTTGTTTTTTTGGATGGGATCAGAAGGACTTGGGTAGGAGCTGGAGGACGGGTTGAATTTTTGCTTTCGTGGTCATGGATAGGGTTATTGAGCAGTTTGATACCCGATGCTGTTTGCTTCTCTCCTTGTTTTGGTTCCATAGTGTTGAATGCAGATGTTAACACGGCAAAAGATGTGGTTCAAGACGCTCTCTCTTTATATACCGACTGTGTGGTTTCTCTTTGATAAAAAGTCCTTATATACATGACCATGCACATTCTTACGCACATCCCCCTTATTATCCCATTTTTTTTGTGCCCTTTGTCGCCTTCATGAAAGAAACCCCCATTAGAGCCAACTCCAAAAACGAACAGCAAATCCCATCAGCAACCTCAAAGGAAACAAGTTGGGAAGAAAGGGGAGGTAAGTCGCTAGTAACTAATGCTTTTCCTCAGAAAATCTTGGTGATGCTCTCCCTCGAAATGACACTATTCTGCTTCTCATCCCTCTTGACCCTGAAAAAGCTATCGCAAAAGTCGCTGCACCGCATGTGCCTCAAAAACTCCTCGTCGTGCGTAATGACAATCAGCTGAAAGTTGCTCTGCTGCTGCCTGGCCTGGATGATGCGGTGCAGGCTCTCGGCGAGGGACTTGATGTTGTCGCGGTCGAGGTTGGTCGTGGGCTCGTCGAGGGCAATGAGGCCGCAGTTGACGCCGAAGCTCTCGGCGAGGGCGAGGCGGATGACGATGCTGGCCAGCACCTTTTGGCCGGCGGAGCAGCGGCCGCGCATGTCCATCTCGGCGTCCTGCTTGACCATGACCAGGCGGTAGTTGTAGCTGCGCTTGCCCGTGTTGGGCTCGTTGTCGGAGCGGATGAGGATGGTGTCGATGTCGGTGCCCTGGTACGTCGTCTGCCACAGCTCGCCCGCGATGCGGTTCACCTCGGCCATCTTCATGGTGTGGTACTGCATCACGGCCGCATCGACGGCCAGCCCGCACTGCACCAGGTCCTGCACCGCCGCCTTGGTCGTCTCGACCCGGATGTGCGACTCGCGGTACCTTTGCTTGGCGTCCTTGTAGTCCAGCTCCCATTCCTGCAGCAGCCGGCCCAGCTCCTCGTCCTTGGTCTTCATCGAGCCCATGACGGATCCGCGCTCGGCCAGCAGCCGGTTGGCCGTGTTCTCCAGCGAGCGGGCCTCGGCCAGCAGGCGCTCGTAGTCCTCGTGGGCGTTGCGATCCTCCAGCTCCGAGATGTCTAGCCGCAACACGTCGAGCGTTCGCAGGTGCTTGCGATAGTTGAGGTTGTCGCTAATGTTCTTCTTCTTGCGGTCTCCGCTGTCAATGTCCTGCTTGAGCTTGTTCGTCCGCACCGTCAGATCGGCAATCTCCTTTTCCGTGGTGCTGATGGCTGTCTCGAGAGAGGCGATTGCCCGCTGGTTGGACGCCAGGTTATTGAGCCCCCCACGATCCACGTAGTCCTGAATATCATGATCCATCATCTTGATTTCGCTCATCGAGTTGAGGATGGCGTCTCTCTCCTCGGTAATGACTTGCTCCTTGGCACGGCCCTGGCGAAGAATCTGGTCGCGGGCCGACCTTGCCTCTGCAATGCTCGGCTCAATCTTTTCCAATTCTTCGTCGGTCCGCTGGATGATTTCACGCTGGTGGTTGTAATCTTCCTTGAGGGTTTGGATCTGCTTCTGGAGATCCTTCTTCTTCTCGAGTTGCCCCGCGGTCCGCCCAATCTTGTTTCTCAGCTCGCTCTTCTCCAGCTCGAGCGAGTTGAGCTGATCCTTCATCCGTTGCCGATCCGTCGTGAGCTTGGAAATCTTGTTCTTGAGGCTTCTGAGCTGCTCAGACACGCTGGACTGGAGCTCGTGGATCTCCTCAACGCTGCGGGTGACCCCGCTGGAAGACTGCTGCGACACAATGCGATCCACCTGGGCCTCGGCGTCTTTGATGTCTTTGACCGTCTGGCAGATGTTTGCGACTGTTTTGGCCAGGTCGCCAAGGTCTCTCAGTTTCTCCTCCTCTGCGACAACAAGGGCGTCTTCCTCTTCGAGCTGCTTTTCCAGAGACTCGTACTCGGCTTCCGCTGTCTTCCACTCGTCCAGGAGCGGAGGCAGCTCTGTCGAAAGGCGCTGAAAGGTGTCAAAGGCCGAGCGCACCGCCCGCAATGACTCCAGATTGTCCACTGCCTCTTTCAGGTCCTTTTCCGTGTCCACTTTGCCCTTCGGATCCAGATGCTTGTCAATCTTCTTGCGCAGGCGATCGAGAGTTGCCGCCTGGCTGTCATCAAAGTGGCGCTCACAAAGTCTGCACTTCTTGGACGTATCCAGCATACGCTTGCACTTGTTATAGTAATCAAAGAGAGCATCAAAGAGACTGAGATCAGTGCGAAGCTCCTCGACTTGCTGCTCCACAGCAGCAACCTCTTCCACGTAGTCTTCCACGACGGCACCATCGCGCACGTTTGCCAGCGCGGCGACGACTTCTTGCTTGCTCCGATCCATCTGTTGGGACTTTTTCCCGTGCGTTTCTTTTGCATTCTTCAGCTTGTACTCGACCTTTTGCTGCTTCTGCCTCGTCTGGTCTCGACGTTTCTGGGCCTCTTGAACAGCTTTGCTTTGACGGCCTTGGGCGGACTGAAACAGGGAATCAAGCGACTCCGGCTCCCAGTTGCTCCCCAGGACGCCGTTTAGCTTGGGTTTCCACGTTTCGGTCAATGTCTCTAGCTTTCGTTTGCGGTCTGCCATTTCCTTCTTGCGAAGTTCGAGCTGCGCCCGCTCCGAGGCCAGCCTTGTGCACTCGATGAGCTCCCGGCCCAGCTTCTCGTTCTCGTTTTCCAGCTGCCACTGCTTGTCGTTGGCTTCACTCAATTGCTGGTCCCAGTTGGACTTGTCCAAGTCTTGCTGGACCTGCCTGAACCTTGATTCAAGTTCGGCAAGCTGCGCGTCCAGGATGGCCTTGGCTCCCTCGTCAACGTCGATGCTTCCGGCTTCGTTCTGAAGGACGCTTGTGCGCTTTTCAACGGCCCCCATGCGCTGTTTTGCAGAGACGCGATCTTGCGTCCGGGCGGCTTTGCGACCCTCGAGTTCCGTGATTATCCCCGTAGCCTTGTCGAGCTCCGCAGCGTTCTCCTTTTGCAGTCGCTCCAGGTCACGCTTTTTCTCTGACAGGAGCTTCCGGACCTTGTCATGGAACGCTCGAATCTGCTGATCGTTCAGGTCCCCGTCAAATCCTCTGAGGTTGTACTGTCGTGCGGCCTCTTGTATCAGCTCCACCCTCGCTCTGAGTTGGCGCTCGTATTTGTCCTTGTCCGACTGATGTTTTCCCTGCTCAGCCAGTTTCGCGGACAAGGCTTGACGATGATTCGCCAGCTCCCTTTGGAGCTCGGCGTACTGTGCCTTGTTCTGCTCAGCCTCTTGTTGATAGCGAGCCATGCTGTCTTCGTATTGGGACAAGGAGCGCTCGAGCGCCTTATCGCTGTCGGGCAATTCCTCAATTGTCTGTCTGAGCTCGTCAACAGCGTCCTGCCTGTATTCGAGCTGCTCTCGTTTGTTGTTGAGGTTCTGCACGATTTGAAGAAAGCTGTTGGCTTGCTCGTGCTTCTGGCGTATCCTTTCCTGCGTCTGCTGCATGTCCTCCGTCAGCTTTTCACACTTGTCGCGGGCCGCTTCGATCTCGGCCTGCAGCGCACTCATGCGCTTTTCGGCCCGCTCGCCCCTATCCTTGTTGACCTTGTTATGTGCCTCGTCGCTTTCGAGTTTGATGAGCTCTGCCAGCTGGTTTTTCCGGAGCACCTTGATATTCTCAATGGCCTTTGCGTACTTCATGGCCTCGAAAATCTCATCGAAGCGCTTCTTCAAGGCCGCAGGCTCGCTCAGCGGCCAGAGAGACTCATCCTGGTGACAGAATATGACAGCATCGAGAATAGCGGGAGAGACGCCGAGGCGTTCGGGGATCATCTCATCCAGCTGCGCCTGTCTTGTCGATGTCGTAGTTCGTTCTCCGTTGTTGACGACCACCAGGGAGCAGTCGAGAGTCTTTTGCGACCTCGCCTTCTTTCCCACGGTGAGCTGCATGCTTCGAGTCGCCACATGTTGTCGATCGTTGATGGAGCGAAATTGCAGCTTGACCTGGGCCAGGACTTCTTTTTCTCCGACGAGCTGGACACGAAGCAATTGTCGTTAGCGGAGAGCGCAGACGGTGACGGTGACGGTCCAGGCACGGATTTGGCTTGCCTTTGGGTCGTGAATGAAGGCGCCGCCCTTGCTGTTGGGAGGCAGCTGGCCTGTGGTTGCGTACTTTAGGCACTCGATGATTGTCGTCTTTCCGGAGCCATTGTAGCCGACAATGAGAGTCAGCGGAGTGTTGAACTGGATGGCCTCGCGAACAGCCGGGCTGAAGGACCGCACGCCGGAGATGGAGAGCTTGTCGATTCTCGACATGGTGGAGGGCGACTGGGGGCGAAGAGATGCTGCTGCTGAAGGTGGCGGTTTTCAACCGAACTGCTGCTTGAGAGGAGCAATGACTATCGATCAAGGCTGCGGCATCTCCCTGTTGTGTCTGGTGGCTGAGCCTCGACTGGCGAGCAACTGCTGTGTAGCCGCTGCGTGTATGCAGACGAGGTGCCTTGATACTACCAAGTTGATAATGCCGTGTCTAGGTATCGTCTCTCGTCTATACCTTTGCGATACTACTACATAGTCCAAACGCGCTCCAGGCAGCGCCGCCAGTCACGCGTTTGAGCGCCATGCGCTTGACTGATGCGTGCTCACGTGCGATAAGATAGCCCATGAGAGAAGGCACTCAAAGGGCACTTTAACCCCTCCTTCAAGAGCCCGAGCCTGAGCCTGAGCCTGTGCAAGGTTGCAGCACTAGTAGCAAGATGCTAACACAGATTTGATGGGCCAGATGGGCAAAAACGGGGCACCAGATACCATTAGATACAGCTTGTTGCACTTTTGTCCATCAGGACCCCTCACCATCATCAAGGAGCGACGGATCCGCACCACTCCAAAGGCTTCAAGGTTCCATCCATCCAAGCCAATTGCTGCGCTTGCAGGTGGGATGTGCGGTGCAGTACTTTGCGTGTACTCGCCGGCACTTTTAGTCACGCACAGCCACCGACGCCTCGGGCTGGAATCGGGCGTCCCACAGGTCGAAATGTCGCATCGCGGATAGGCGGGATTGGGCATTGCGATGCGAAAGTCAGGGTGGGCACGGCGACTCGGGGCTCTTGTCGCTTTGGCCTAGTGCTGGCTCGGGGGATGTGCGAGTCTCTGGCAGGTATCCGCCAGGTACTGCAGAAAGAGAGGAGGGATATCCATGGATACGATACATATCAGTCAGATATCAAATGACGATGATGCAGGACAGATGGCGCCCCATACTATCTACCTACCTACCTGACCTGACCTGACCTGACCTGACCTACCGCCGTGCTCTCTCCGCATTTGACACATAATACCTACCTGACCGTCGGAGTGTGAACGATTATGATTACATCGCGTACGTGATGCAAACGGCATCCGAGCATCATGCCGCCCGCGAGTGAGACGCCTCAAATACCACCAACGCACCGTGGGGCCCATATCTGCTCGTAAGGTATCCTCCTCACATTCAGGGTTAGGTAGCACAGCACCTAAGATAGTATACAAGTACTGGTCTACAGCACAGACAGCCGCTTGCTTGGCGCCGTTTTGTGCGTTGCTGGCTTGGAGCTCCAGGAACAGCCCGAAGGGATGTATCAGGCAACGATTTCCCTTGCATTCATGGATGGCCTTTTCTTTTCCCCTCCCCAGAAAGGCGCGCTGCTTAGCCAGGCCAAGTGGTCGAATCGGATGCAGCTGTGAGAGGCCCCGAGGCCTGTTAGCCGTGAGAGGCTGCACAACCGGCACGCCGCCGGTCAGCAGGCCTTGCTTTTTCCTGCACCAAGCAAGGTTGAAGCTTGTCGCAGGTTGATGGGAAGGAACGGTGGCTTGTCACCAGCTTTTGATTAATGGCTGTGTGATGATCTGACTTGTCGGTTCAATGCCTAGGTAGGTAGACTTGTTGCGTTGCTCTCCAGCACCTATTTCGGCTCTCCTCCCTACTACTAGGTAGAAGCATCGAGTTTGTAATACGCATCGAGAGCAACGGGCGTTTGCTCAGGACGACAGTCGCCTCCATTCGTACAAGGTACTTCCTACCTAGTATACATAATACCGCAAGATAGGTACCTAGTATGACATCAAAATTGCCGTCCTGAAAGCCCTAGGTAATTTTTACCACATGGGCAATGATACTTGTCCATCATCAGATTCAGATACAAAGCCGAGGACCGCTTTTCCTTAGCGCTGTCGCGACGTCTTCCCGCAGCAGCCGCTAACGCCAGCGCCGCAGGAGAGGGTTGCGTCATGCCTGAAATCTCTGAGATTCTTGGTTTTTGGGTCTCGGGTCTTGTTTTTTGGCTCTGCCCATCCGATGGGTTTGGACGGGTTGGGGTCCATGGGAGAGTATGTATGTACATACAAGTACCTACAGTTAACACCATCCCTGGATGGATCCGCGCTGCTCGTTGCTCAGCTGTCCGCCCCCCCCCGCCATTCGCTGGGCTGGGGCTCGGGGGTGCTAGTACATAGCGGCCACTTGTTGCTGCCAGACATTCTGCTGGTGCTTGTGTGTGTGTGTGTGTGTGTGTGAGACCCGATTGCTTCATACATTTCGCCTTTTTGGCTGTGCCCAATCCTGTACTGCATCTCCCATGTCTCATCCCTTGGCTGAGGGCAATAAGGTAAGGTACTTTACCTCAGGCAGTACCTGAGTTGTACATGTACTTGCATCTGTTAATGCACAGCGTAGCACCTACCTAACCCTCCTCCCCGTACGAGTGCCAGAACCGCTAAGCCGCTCCCACCAAAGTGCATGCCTTAGCAGCGCGGCCGTCACTCAACCTGTCGCCCACACAATGAAACAAACCCGGACCCGACCCCAACCAGGCACATGCCCAGCCCGCTTTTCACGGGGGCAATTCTCCGGCCTGCTCAGCGACAAGACAGCGCTCAGCCCGCTGTGCTGCAGGCCAGGTCCTGGCCCGGCCCCAGCCTAGCTGAAATCCCAGGTGCTAGCACCATCGCATTTGCCTTCCAGATGCCCTGGCCATTATTATCGATACCTTACATATAAACTCGGATACCACCGCTTGCTGCGACAACAGCCACGATTCCCAGCTCTGGCCTCGGCTGCTCCCAACCTCTCTGCCCCTTACAGAGACATCCATTCTTACAGAGACACCGTACAGAGCACCTCGCAGACGCGCTGCACGACCGACAGACAGACAGCCAGGCTGCTCGTCCGACCCAACTGTCCCGAGCCTCGGACACGGCAAGGCAACGCCCGGCAGCACAAACAGCGCCCCCCCCCCCCAGGCGCTGCTCCCCACGAACCTTCACGCCAGAAGAACAACAGCCGCAGGCCCCTCACCTAACCTAACAGAAAAGCCCCCCCAAAGAGACGCCACTGAACGCACCTCACCCAGAGGGCTTGCTCGGTAGCCCGCTAATCTGACGCCCTCCTGATGTGGAAAATCCAACAGCTGGCGGTATAGCAATACTACCGCGACCATGTCCGGCCCACCTCCTCTGCACGGCGACTTGTTTGGCTTCGGCAACATCGACGTCTTGCCCATGTTCCAGGGAGCCGCCCACAGCCAGGGCATTTCCGTGCCCACGTCCAGCGCCGATGCGCTCCATCTCGACGACTCCAACGGCGACGCCATGGCACTTCTCGAGAGCACGCTGATGGCTCACTTTGGCGGCGACATGGCCCTCAACATTGACCCCATGGCCGCCGTGCTGGACGACGACGGCGGCGACATGGACGGCCGCCTCATCTCCCCCGACAACATGCTCAAGCCCCAGGACCAGTTCAACAACGTTGCCAACGACGTCCCGGGTGCAGGGCCCATGCCCGCGGCTGCCTTTACGCCCACCAGCATGGCTAACAACGGCGGCGGCAGCGGCACCAGCGGCAGCAACAACCCGCTGACCGAGTTCACCAAGCGGCGCAACTGGCCGGCCAAGGTGGTGGAGGAGCTCAGGGACCTGCTGCAGATCCTCGACTCCAACGGGCGCATCAAGTATGTGTCGCCCAGCATCACGGCCCTGGCGGGGTACACCACCGAGGAGGTCCAGGACACCTTTCTGAAGCACCTGATCCATCCCGACGACCAGGGCGTCCTCGTCTCCGAGCTCCACGAGTCCATTGCAACCGGCAACCCGCTGCGCATGTTTTATCGCATGAGGAAGAAGGACGGCACCTATGCCATCTTCGAGGCCGTCGGCCACGCCCACATTGCCGCGGCCAGATTTGCTCCGAATCCAAATAACCAATCGCCCTTTTGCCAGGCCGTCTTCATGATGGCGCGCCTCTACCCCACCAAGAACGCAGCCCTGCTGGACTCGTTCCTGGAGCACAAGATTGAGAACGAAAGGCTGAGGCGACGCATAGCTGAGTTGCGGAGAGAGGAGGAGGCGGAGGCGGAGGAGGCGCAGAGGCAATGGGCGCACAGTCGGGAGGGCCGGTCAGACGTCGGTACCTCAGAGAATGCCAGTACGGCAGCATCCACGGTTTACGGATATCACAGCGTCCCCACCGAGATGCCCATGTCATCAGCAGCAGCAGCGGCCGCCGCCGCTGCCGCCGCCGTCGACGGTGCATTGACGAGGAAGAACCTGGAGGGCGCCACGGGGGGGAATCGTCAGGACTCGCTGCGCGACAAGATGGCGCGATTCGAGGCGTCCTCGGCGGATACGATAGCCTTTTTGACAGGCATAGAAAACGGAGAGCGGATGAGTAACGGCAACCGGAGCCCGACCCTGATCAAGGGCGATGCAGGAATTGCCATGCCTATGGACAGGGACTCCAAGTCGGGCGAGAAGAAGAAGAAGCTCAAGTTGGCCGAAGAATACGTTTGCACTGACTGCGGTACAGTTCCCCCCTCCCTCTTATAATTCTTCCCCATCTGCTCGTCTGGATTGGCTTAGTTTGCCTCGGGTGTCAAGCTCCCCTCATTGGGAAATGGCGCTCCCAACCCAGCCGACAGAACCCTTGGATCAGCTGCTAACGACGGATCTCTCTCAGGCACACTCGATTCCCCGGAATGGCGAAAAGGGCCCAGCGGGCCAAAGACGCTCTGCAACGCCTGCGGACTACGCTGGGCCAAGAAGGAGAAGAAGCGCAACAGCGTCGGCACGCCCCTGGCCAAGCCCGTCGCGGGCTGACGACATGGCGGAGAAAGAAAGCAATTCGGCCACACGGCTACAAGGGACAGGAATTAGCCATGTAAACGCGGCCGGACCGGAACTTTGCGCTCAACTGCTTATTTAACGACGGAATCCTGGTACACGGAGTTGTGGGTTTGGCTTTAAAGATGCATTCATCACTGGCGACAGGGACTTGCCTAGTTATTCTCAAACCATTGTTGCTGTCGATTCTTTTGCTCGGGGACGGACGATTGGCGACCCTTCTCTTCTTCATCCTTCCTTTCCCTTCCATCTTCTTTCATCACTATCACTACCTCTTCTTTCATCATTACTTTTTCTTTTTTCTTTGTCACATCTATTCATCTTCTTTTTCACCTTTTTCAAATCCATCTTCTCCGAATCTTTGACACGGGCATCTGTACACGATTATGATACCCCTTCGGCAGGCAGCATTTGAAGCAGAAATACTAGACGGACACGGATGTACGTGGCGAATGTACCACGTTTTTTTTTTCTGCTTTGGAAACACACGAATAGATCAGGAATTATATGTTTATGAGCTTTCCATGACTTTTGCTGAAATTCTGGGTACAATACAAGTGATGTATGCTTGGCTGCCATGTTTGCATGTCTCCCCTGGTAGGCAAGCAGACAGCGAGCAAAGATGCCCATGAAGGAGGAACCTTGTGGATGAGAAATAAGGGACCGACTCTCACCCGCTGACAAATACACATTCAAGTCAACATGAAGCAGATGGCCACTCATTCAATTGGATGCCTCGTGTAATACGAATTCTCTCGAGTTCAATGCCGCGGATGAGCTAAACTTGAAAAAGCCCCGCCTTGTAGGAATGTTTTGGTTCTCAATCCTGCGTGGCTTGGTTCAAGTCGAGCCGCCATGTAAGATCTTGTTCCAAGTGTCTCTTCAGCCCCTCATCTCAGTGACATACCTACCTACATACATACTAGGTAGGTAGTCTATCCGCTACCTAACCTACATTAACTCATCATCTGCACGTCTAGGCGAATCGAATTGAATCGAGCTTGAATCCCAAATAAAGACTATCATATCTCACTTTTCAATTGCAAGACTATCTCGACTCACCAAGACGAAATACTTGACCAGAGACCGACAGTCCTATCGTTGAGGTAGGTTGCTTGCTTGCTGCTATGTTTCTCCCCGCCTATGTACATACCTACTAAATGACACTAGGATCGATCCCGGATTCGTGCAGGATCGGATTCAAAACAATCAGAACTGATTCGAGGGAATCGAAACGCTAGACACTCACTTCCTCCAAGAGACCTCGGCTGAACCACACCAGACCTCACCCCCAATCTTCTTTTCCGAGACATTCTGACACATACTTTTCAACACTCACAATTCCAATTCAACCCGTCACTCCCTCCCAGTCGTCGTTCCCTTGAGCAGCCATGGCTCCTCCGGACAACTTTGCCAACTATCCTGATGTCGTCCAGGGCCCGGACACTGGATATGATCAGCGGGTCGACCACAACCCGGTGCTTCGGGGCTTGCCTCTCGCCGTGGGCGCTGAAATGTATGTGATCTCTTCGATGGGGGTTTTAAAACTTGTAATGAGATGTGTGTGGCTGACTGACAACTTCGTCATCTCACTATTACAGCATCTCCCGAAGCGGCATCATCTCACGATTCTTTCTCAACAACTCTGGCATCACCAAGATCAAGGACATGCCAGAGCTGGACCATGTCACGCCTACTTTCCATGTAATCAATGCCTGCCTCCGCTTATCCCTTCTCACCAATCTTCAATTTGTCACAAATGAGAGACGGAAGATTGTGTGACAAAATTGATAGCACATCAGATTATGAAATGAGAAATACCTGGCTGACGAGTCTCTGGCACAGCCCACGGTGACGCCTCTCGGCCCAACAGGCCCCATGCTCGCCTTCGAGCCAGAGCTTCTCACCCCCAAGCACGCCTCCTCCTCTTCCAAGTCCCGCTACTACTCCGCCAGCGACTACCACGCCATGTACAAGAGCGGCGCCCTCACCCCGCTCCAGGTGATCGAGACGCTGCTGGGCCTGACCACGGGCGGAGGCAGCAAGTACAGCGACGCCTGGGCGGACGCCCACGGCGCCGAGAAGCTCGCCGTCGAGGCGGCCAGGGCGTCGACGGAGCGCTGGGCCGCGGGGACGCCCCTGGGCGTGCTGGACGGCGTGCCGGTGGGCGTCAAGGACGACACGGACGTCAAGGGGTACGTGAACCACTACGGCATGAAGTACAATGGCGCGCTGCCGGCGTTTGCGGCGCGCGAGGAGACGGCGTGGCCGGTGAGGAAGCTGCAGGAGGCTGGGGCGATTGTGCTGGGGAAGAATAAGATGCATGAGCTGGGATCAGGTACAGTTGAAGAAGAAGCCCTCCCATATTGAATATGTTCGTTATATGGATCGTGAGCTGACAATCATGCCTATACAGATACGAGCGGCCTCAACGTGGGTTTCTCTCCTCACGACACATACCTACCTTTGGATATCAAATCACAACTGACCCGATGAAAACGCAAACAGGTCGTCCAAGGAACGCCCACAAACCACCTCAACAACGCCTACTACCCCGGCGGCTCCTCCAACGGCGCCGGATCCTCCATCTCGGCCGGCATCGTGCCCATCTGCGTCGGCACCGACGCCGGCGGCAGCATCCGCATCCCGGCCAACTTCAACGGCATCTACGGCCTCAAGCCGAGCCACCACCGCACCATGGCCATGGAGGGCACCGTCTGCGTCACGGGGCCCCTCGCCGCCACCGCCGCCGACCTGACCATTGCCTACCGCGTCATGGCCCAGCCCGACGCCTCGTGTCCCACGCAGGCCCGCTTCGCCCTCTCCCTGCCGCCGCCGTCCGCGGGGGGGAGCCGCGTCATGGGCGTCTTCCGGGACTGGTACAACAGGGCCGACCCTCCCGTGCGAGACCTGTGCGACAAGGCCCTCGACTACTTCGCTTCGGAGCGCGGCTACCAGATCGTCGACATCAGCATCCCCTTCCTGCCCGAGGCGCAAGTCGCCCACGCGGGCCTCTGCATCGCCGAAATGGCCGAAAAGGCCCGCCGCAGGACCCCCGACAACGCAGCAGACCACCTCTCCCTCGTCGGCAGCGCCAACAAGATCCTCCTCTCCGTGGGCGCCCAGGTGTCCGCGGGCGACTATCTCAAGATCAACGCCCTGCGCACCGTCCTCATGCGCCACCTCGCCCACCTCTTCCAGCAGCACCCGGGCCTGCTCATCATGACGCCCGCGACGCCCATCGTCGGGTGGCCGCGGGCTGCGGGGGACGACGCCCACGGCATGAGCGACGCAAACGTCACCCTGCGCAACATGTCGTACGTCTTTCTCGCCAACATGGCCGGCAACCCCTCCGTCTCGGCGCCGGTCGGGTATGTCGATCCCGAGCAGGGCGAGGGGAAGCTGCCCGTCAGCCTGCTCGCGACGGGGGAGTGGGGGAGCGAGGAGCAGCTGCTGGCGTGGGCGAGAGAGGCGGAGGAGTATCTTCACGAGACGTATCCCGAGGGACGGAGACGGCCTGAGGCGTGGGCGGACGTGTTTGCGTTGGCTCGGGGGGGATAATTGAACGGGGTTCGCATGAATCGATGCAGCTTGTCTGTCTATATTCACGTAGAGGAACAGAACAGCAACACACCAGACGTTGAGACTGGTTGTCAGCGTTGGGCATCAAAATTGTCGTAAGCTCATTGATAAAGCCCTCCTCTGAATAGGAGAACCAAACGACTAGCATATCACGTTGTACACGTACACAACCATGAAAACCGCAACCCACCCAATCTCATTCAGAGAAATTTGGAAGCAAGCCCCATCAACCCAGAAGGACCCTGCTGACCTCCGCCCTGACTCTTGAAGTACATCTTCAACGCCAACTCGCCCGCCTGCTGAATCGCAGACTCCTTGCTCGCCTCGGAGGAAACTTTGCCGTTGGCGGCCTTTGAGTCGAAGAGCTGTTATTCACGACAAAATTGTCAGCATCACATTATATATATTCCTCCCGGGTTTAATACCAAATGGATTTTCGGTTCAATATGCTTTCACATTGGGGGAAAAAAAAAAGGCCATCTCTTCTTTCTTACCTTGCTGGCTTCAGACATGGCCAGGCCCAAGAAGGCGCCCTGGCTCTGGTTCCCGCCCGTCTCGCCCTGTGTAAACTTCTTGAGCGCCTGCAGAGCGGCGGCGGAGCCGAGGCTGCCCGAGTCTAGGTTGTCGGCGTCTTGTTCGTAGGTCTGCTTGTGCTTGCGGATGGCATCTAAGGAAAAAATCCACCCATTGTCAGCACGTCCGTCCTGACCATCGTGTCTCCCAAGAGGAGATGTTTTATGTGTTTCGATAGAGATAGGCTCTCACCCTGCTCGTCAATGTCGTCCTCGGCCAGCCGGTTCTTCTTCTGGCTGATGGTGTTGATGATTTGGGAAAAGAGCTCGCTGCTGCCAGACGAGCCGGCGTACTGCTGGGCCTGCTGGTGGGCGGTGCGGAGCTCCTCGTCTTCGTGGTGGAAGTCGCCGCCGGCGGGATAATTGCCTCCGTATGCCTCTGTTCAAATCGCGGAGCGGTTTCTCACGAGTCAGATATACCTAGGTTCGTGGGCTTAGAGTAAAGGAGAAAGGGGGAGGAAGGGTTGCGCGATGCGGGGAGGGGAGAGGGGACGGGACTGACTGTTTCCGGGAGGGAGGTGGCTGTTTTCTGTTTGTTGGTTGACAAGTCAGCATTGGATCAGGCTGTTGTTATATATAGGGCAGCGTAATTGCTTCCGCGCGCTTGACAGATACGGCTGGTTGAAGATGATGGGGGACGGGAAATAGGAGGGATGCGGCACATACCTTGGGAGTTGTAGCCGGAGCCGGAGCCGGAGCCAGAGCCGGAGACCTGCTGCTCGAGGAACTCCTTGCCAATCTTGACAAAGTTGTCCATGTTGCGATGCTGTCTATAAGCTCGAGGAATGGGAGAATATGTGCTGCAACAAGAGGGGAATTGAGGCACAGAAAGACGCTGGTTGACGGTTGAGTGGGACGACGACGATGATGGTGGTGGAATCGATTGAGTTCAATATATACAGATGGGCTATTACGGCACTACGTAAGAGACCCCCCCTCTGCAAGCCGACGAAGCTACCCCGCCGTATAAGCTGCGCGACCACAGACAGCTGGATGCATCAAATGCAGAGGACCTGGTACAGCTGAACGACTGAGCTATTAGAAGCGCTATTACTGTGCGGACGGTGCCGCAGCGAGAGGGGTCCAATGGCCCCCTTTCGACTGCGGGGTGTGCATGCTTGCTCATAGAGGTAGGTACATGTAGACAGCGTGAAGACCATTGTCTGTGTGAGCGGTTTGAGACTTTGAGTGTCTATCAACTGCATCTCGTAGAGAGAGGCATTGGATGGGAGCTTCTCAGCTGTCCTGAGCTTCCATGAGCCCTGAGCCAACAGCAGCAGCCTTGAGATTATGTCATCAGACCCCCTTCAGGAGAGCCGTCTTCCCATGTCGTCTCTCGTACCTACAGTACTGCACAGTACATACGGAGACTCCGTGCTGCTCCCGGGTCTTGTTACCCACAGCGATCCAGAGAGGGTGACGCGTAACATTGATGCGTGCAATCACCGACATGGTGCATGTATACGAATAGTAGTAGTACGTAGTAGTACCTTCGTACCTCGTTAGGGAACCTACAAGTATGAACCAAGCTCAGCCCGATCCAATCCCTCTCACCACGCAACTTCATTAAACGCAGATTCATGCAGACAATCCGACTTATTACTTGGTACCACCTGGTCTGCCCAAATTGTAGCCTACCTTAGGTATCTACCTACCTACCTACCTTATTACTACTACTCAACTACCCTGGACCATGAACCCATGAACCATGACTTAGCACCAACCTACTAAGATCGCAATGTCCCGGTGTGCGGCTGGGGAGGGTCTTTGAACAAGCCATGGAAAAAGCTTGGCGGCCTTTATTTCCATTTCTCAGTGCTTCTAGCCCTGTACAGCCACGTTTTCGGTGGAGGCTCTTGATTATGGTCTGGGAACTCGGCTGCGAGCGAGATGATCAATTCATGAGTCCCTCGGGCTGAGGCACTCCGTGTTAGTAGTATCTTCAAACCTGATGCTAGACTTGCATGCGTGCAGCTATGCATGCGAACAAATCCTTTGCAGTGTTGACTCAGGATGCATCTACCCGTAGTATGTACGTCTTCCAATTGATCAACCAAGGCCAAGAGACGAACGAAAGCTTATCCTCTCTCTCGCCTTTGAAACGCAGTCTCACTCACTTCTGCGACACCAACCAGATTCCCTCCCCCCCTTATTCGCATCCTCAACTGGCTTCACTCACCCAGCAGCCAGCCACCAATCTGCACAGCTTGAAACCGCTGTCACAACTATCTATGCCTTGCCTCTATCCAAGAATGAAGATCAAATCAGTCCCAATGCTATTCGCACAACATCCAGCATGTGCACGGGCAAATCAACCCTCCTCCAGGCGCCCCCCTCCGAATCAAGGCTTGAAAACAAGAGACCCTTTGAATGACTTGTAAGCATTCCATTGGGCGGCTTGAGACGGGAATGGCCACCTTAACACCACCCAGAAAGAATGCCGAGACAGCCAAGACCAGCCAACCACTTGTATGTGTGGGCAATACCCAGCCTGTTTCTTGCCTCTGATCGCTTCTGCAAACGCGCAGCTGGATGCAACCCTTCCGGGGAAACTCATGCTGCACACTGCAGTTTGGGGTTCTGCGCGTGTTTCGGGGTGGCGCTGAGACGAACCAGAGGCGGCCAGTCTGGTCGCCCTTGTCCGGACGTGTCTTCACATTTTCCCTTCCCTTATCAGGCTCAGTCATCTTCAGATTTGCTTTGATTCCCCAAGAAGCTTTTGGTGTCGGGCCAGGCCTCTTCGTGTGCGTACTGTACTAAGCCCCGTGTCCAAACCTCGGCATATTAGATAGTACTTGCACATCTCGACGTACGGAATACGGGGGCGCTCAAGCCGGTTCATAGCCGTAGGTAGACATGAGAGAACTTGCAAGATACACCCCGAATCGGCAAGTCGCTAGAAAAAGCTCGTCTCGCCGAGCCGGGCAAGGGTTCCCTTCTCAACAAAGAGAGAAAACGGGGGAACAAAGGCAGGATTGCGGCACTCGTCATCTCGCGATGGGCCCCCCCGATGCTGCCGTTGTGCCCCACCGTACCGCGTCCGCGGGTGCAAGGACGAGCAGTACGGCAAGATACCAGACCACTAACAACGACCCGATTCATAAAGCTGGCGGTCCTCGTAATACAAGTATCTGGTGGTGCTGCGGTCGGACTCGGGAGATACAAGTCACCCCAGGCAAGGACGGCACTTTCAAACATACGATGATATGAACAGTGTTCCAATCGGCCTCTTTATCCGAACGAGGCTGCACGTAATACTTCGTAGGCGGACTGGCGCAATCTCTTGGGTCGTTGCTCGACTCTGTAGTAGTGCGCAGGATCTTGCGTTTGAGCTCTTGAGCTTGTGGCCGCGGTCAGAGGAAATGTAGCACATCGTACCTATGGACCTGCAGAGCCTCAAGCCAAGGAAATGCCCCCGAGTTCTTCGGATTAAAATAGCCTTTTGACACACTAGACATGCGTCTACTAGTATGGAGAACGTCAAGTCAGTGCTCGATACTAGCTGACTGCAGGTAGTAGTAGATGCCAAAAATATCATCGCCCAAGTGGCGGCGGTCGGCTGACGCCACGATTGCTACCCGTGCTGATGGACTGAGGAGAAACAGCAAATGGTCTTGCACGGTTACGTCCTTATTTTGTTTTCCTCCCCTTTCCGTTGGCGCGCTTTTTATATTCGAAGCGATCATCATCATTTAAAATACGATGCCGCAGCACGGAGTGTTCCGCGCTGTGGCGGTTGCTCCCTACCAACAAGCACAGCCTCGCGTCCACGAATGGCACTCTGCGCTCCAGTCCGGCTCCCACAGGAAGGACATGGAGGCGGATGCGATGCAAACAAGATGCATCGTGCTCACGGGGCCCACTCTGCTGATCGAGAAAGAGGAGGGTTGCTCCATCGCATCGTCGCTGTCGATGGCCCTCTCGTTTGTGACGACTCTAGGTATTCGTTGCGATTAAACCCTCAGTCAGCGTCCAGTCAACATTCAAGTACCTTCTCCGTACCTTCAACGCATGTCTGTCTCCTCGGCGCAGAGCACTCTCACACGCGTAAAATTTGACGGCTCTTCGTACTCCCGTATTAAACAATGTCTCACCATGCTAATCACCTGGCTCCAGCGCTGATCACGGCAGAGGGCACCCAATTGCACCCAACAGCTAAGGCAGCTCGCATGCTCCGCCCAGTCAGCCCAGCCTAGGCATGCAAGCCCCCCCGGGAGAAGAGGCAGCCCCCCCCCTTGCATCTTTGCTCCCTTGCTCCCTTGGCTGCTGCTTGATTGCCTGCTTGCGTGCGTTGCTGTGCCGGTGCTGGTGCTGTGTTTTGCTTTGCTCTCCATTCGAAATGATGGTCCCTTGAGGTGCCCCTGTCTCTGCTCGCAGTACAGTACAGTACAGCACCTGCCTGTCGTATCTGTAGCGTATGTGTGTACATGCATTAGCAGGACGGGACTTTCATGGTTAGGTACCCAGAGTGGCCTCGTGCGTCGTCCTGGTCTGCATCTCGACGTCGAATCATAAGGTGGTGGCTTGATAGTAGCGAGGCACACAATGCACGAGGCTAAAGTCGAGGCTGCTGAGCAAACAGCCTCTTGCCGTCGCCGAAACCTTCCAAAAGTACAAGTAAAGCCCCCCGCCAAGCGCAAAGTACAAGTATCGCGGCCAAGTCGCCCCTGCCTCGCGAAAGTGCGTTTCACCTTGACCCATCCAAACCCTCGCTCCCAACCAAGACAGAAGGCGCCCCCTGGCTGCGGCTTCCCAGAAACCCAGAAATCCTCGACAGCCACTTTTCGGGGTTCTTCCCGCCGTAATCAACAAGTATTTCGTACCGTATTCCGTACCTTTCCTTACCTTTTCACTTGTACCTGGCCAGCCCGGTTCTTCGACTCGCTGCCTCCGCTTTCCGCGCCTTTTTCCCTTTTTCATTTTCCATCAAATCTTGCCTTTGCCTTGCCTGCGTCTTTGTTCCCGTCTCTCGTTTGTCCCAAGTTTCCGTTTGGCCCTTTGTTGGCTCTCTTGTCAAACGACTACAGTGATTCCTATCAGAAAGATAGAGTGTCTTTTCCTTCCGCCTTCTCGCATCTTACTCAGTACTACTTCGTCTATTCATCTTGACCCCTTCTCGACTCTCTCTCTCTCTGTCTCTTGTCGACATTTTCTTCGTCTCCGTCTCCGTCTCCGTCCACCGACCGTCGTCGCTCCATCACCCTTTCATCGCCCGGCCATCCATCGCTACCGAGGCAGCGCGCGCGCAAACCGTCTCCGAGGCTGGGAATGATTTAGTCGGCTCCGGTTCTTGGAGCACCCAGCACACGCTTCGCCCATCCGTTCCATCGCTTCCCGCAGACTCCCGGTAGGGGTCGACCAGTTGCCCATCGTGGCGGCCACAATCGACGCGCAAAACTCCCTGCTTCGAGGCGACCCGGCTTTCGACCAGAATGGCGCGCAGTACCACCACCGCTCCGTCAGCCAGAGCGGCGACTACGGCACGGAATACGGCCAGGCCTATCCCCAGGCATCTCTCACTCAGACAGCTTATGCTCAGCCTACCTACGCCGAGCACGCGAGCCTGAACCAAGAGGCAGAAACAGCTGGTGCTGCTGGCGGCACTAGCGGACGCAAGCTCGCTTTCCTCAAGGGCAGATGGCCTACGGCATTCTTGGCCATTACCGGTATTCAGGCTCTCATCAACCTGGCGTTTGAAGCGTATGTCAACCAACATCGGGTAACCCCCTTTTCTTGAACCTCTTCATTTTACATCCTAGGGTAATGTGGCGGGTGCTAAGATTTGTTGCAGCTATGTGTTTGGGAAGTTCCAGCTGAGCTTGGGCGCCTACATCACGGACCCCCAGGTTCAATCTCAGTACAAAACGATCCCTACCTTTTTGACGCTCTTCATTTTCGGCTTTCTTTACGAGCTCATCATCGTCTTGGATGCCCTGCGCATGAAGAACACCATTCAAATTATTGGTGTCTGCATCGCCAACCTGGCGCTCTTGGTCTATGCGGCCCTCCAGATTGAGCAGATTCAGGTCGCCTTGGGAATCCTTGAGGTCAATGGCGCGCTGGAACCGGGCACCACCTCAGCTATGCTCTGGAGTGACATCAAGGCCTACCTGATTGCCAGTCCCGTCATCATTGCCGTCACTACCATCGCCATGGTCTACGTTGCCTGGAAGCTGTACCAGCAGTTTGCCTGGGACATTCTCAAGAATATCGGTGCTGATTATCGCATGAAGAAGCGATTCCTTCACTATCAGGTACGGATGCATGCCTGCGGCTCGCATCGACACGGATCCAACTGACATGTTTGCTAGATCTACATCGCCTTGCTCAAGTTCGATTTCTTCTTCTTCCTCGGCTTCATCATTCAGTTTGTCGTCGTTGTCGCCCAAAAGACCGATCCCGAATTCGCCCTCACCATTGCAACCATTCCGATCACGATTGCCATTCTGATTGCCGCCGCTTTCTTCACTCAGCGGGAAAACAAGCCCGGCATGGTCGTCGTCATCATTCTCTACTTTGGCGGCCTGTCATACTTCATCTTCAAGCTCTTCCGCATCTACGAACCCAGCCACGCCCAGTTCTACATGGCTGTTCGCAGATCCCTCACTGCCTTCGCCGTCATCACCATTCTGCTCATCATCATGACCATTATCAACGCCATCATCTGCATGCACAACTTTGGCGCAGGTCTCAAGGCTCACCTGATGGCGCCTCGCAGGGATGAGGAGAAGACGGACGCCAATTCATTCGGCATGACCGACGTCAAGTCCCCCATGCAGAACCGCATGACGATCGACTAAGGGAGCCGCCTCCACCCCATATTGGAGAGTGAAAACAAAAAAATGTATCAGGGTTGCGGAGAGATGGGAATGTACAAAGAAACGAATTTACGAAAGGGAATGGGTTGGCCCCTTTTTATACACACATGAGCCGCCTCATACAGGCTCAGCACCAAAGGCAAAACTCGGAAGGGCTATGCTGGAAGAGGGGATATTAATAACATCCCGTAAACTAAATGGATACCAATTTTTTTTTTCATCATTATTTGCTTTGTCGGAACTTTTGTCTCTTTTACACCATTTTCTTTTGTCTCTGTTCTATTCATCAAGTAGGCTCAGCAATGAAGGGGCGTTGGATCTTGTGCTTCGCATTCCCTCCCTGGACGACAGCCGGGAGTTTTGTGTCTGGATACCCGTGATTTGTTTGATATCGAAGGATATTGGAAATAAAGGGTGACTTCATAGATGACCTGTTGTCACTCTTTTTCTGAGTACTATCAGTATTCTTGCCTGCGTTTTATTTCTTCTCTCTTTTTCCCTATGTCACTCTTTTTTTTTTTTTACCAGAAAACAACATAACTTTTGCATTTTCACAGACATTGAATCGATGAAGTCCCGAGTCTTCCTCTATAGCTTTCTCACGCCTGCTTTTTTTTTCTCTCACTTCTTTCTCTGTCTCTTTCTCCTTCTCCTGACTCTCTTCTATGGGTGTGTGTGATTCAAAACTGACGCCCTCAAACAGAACACGAAGCCAAAAAAAAAAAAAAAAAAAAAAAAAAAAAAAATTGACTTGAAACTGTCATGAGGAAATACTTGCGTCGCGGAAAGTGAGGGTTGCGAGATGAAGGCTTTCGGGGTGCTACTGTGATGTTAGTACGTTGTCATTCTGTTCCCATAGGTCTTTTTTCTTCTTCTTTCGATTGCCTCTTTTGCTCGCCTTGACTTTTTTTTTTTATTCATTTTTCTTTTCTTTCACTGTCCAGATAGGGTTGATACACTATAGAGTCATATTGAGAATATATGGGGGGGTTAATATTCCTATGCTGCTGATCCAACTTGTGGACATGCTATTCACAGCCAACGAAAGAGAGAGAAATGATATAACACCAACTCATCGCGAGAAAAAGAAAGGAAAAAAAAAAGATAAAGAAGAGAAGCCCGATTTACTCCCAAAGAACGTATAACCCTGCGCTTTCGTAGACCAAGAAAAATAAAAAGAGATGGAAGGGAATTCGAAGGAAGCCGATTGTGCAATAACGAATTTGCGGGAAATGTCTTTGCTAAGCACCCTCCGAAGCCCAGTTCGTTGCGCGACATGACTGTTGCAAAACCTGTAATAATGTCCCGGCAGAATAAGAAGGGAGGAGATGAGAAGGGTGGAGATGCAAAAGGGGAAACTGGAGGAAAAGAGATAATAGACGCCTCACATATACTGTTCATTATTCAAAGAGTAATCTTGATGGCATCCTTCAAATGGCCCTCTGTCGGGCAGTAGGGACACTTGTACCTGGATCCCTTGGCCATGTTGTGCAAGCTCTCTCTGCAAATGACATGGCCGCACGGCAGCATCATTGCGGGATTCTGCTCCGTAGTTTGTTCCTTGCTCACGGGGCACACAAAGATGGAGTGGTAAATCATGGACGGCGGCAGCGGGGTCTCAAAGGCCAGCTCATTCTCCGTCGTCCACTCCGTCTTCTTCTCCTTCATATACGTGGTGTACTTGATGAGCCGGGGCAGCGCAATGGAGCCCGCCGTCACAGCCACGTACAGCGGTGACTCCGCCGAAAGGCCCAGCAGAGAGCAAAACTCCCGGGTGAAGGAGGTTGCCACGTCCTCAAAAGCCGAATCAATCTGGAAGATGTGCCGGTAGGGGGACGCCTCAATGTTGGGTGCGAAGACCATCGCGCCGCACAGCTGTTGGATGTCTCTGAGATGCCTCGTCTGGAAGCGTGCAAAGTGGTCTCTGGCATATCTCAGCGCGCCCATCTGGCCATTTCTCTCGTCGTCCGGAAGTTTGTTGACTTTCGGACCCTTGAACAGCCAGATGAACTGCAGCTTACACAACTCAAACTCGAGGTTGCTTCCTGCCGCCTCCAATCTGCTGTTGTTTTGGCGCGCCCACCTGATAGCTGGGCCAAGGTTCCTGTTCTTCAGCTCCGAGAGGAGATTGTACATTTCTGCGAATTGCCCTTGCAGGTCCTCGGGATAATCATTTGCTCCGTGACCATAGTCCCTCTCGTCCTCTTCGTACTCTTGTATCATGTCGTCATCGCCGTCTTCGTCCGTCCGCGCCGTTCGAGGCGACAGGGCGTCTGATGAACTGAGGGGCGGGTCTCGTGACTCGCGTACAAAAGTCGATGCAACGGAGAATTGGCCCTCGCGGACGAGGTGCATCGCGATGGCGCGATTTATGAGAGCGGTGTGGTCGGCCATCGCGTCTGTTTCCATCGGTAGTTCCTTTTGCGGTAGAGCCTGAAAAGGAACCAAAAGGTCAGCAAGTTGTCTAACAAGCAGGCCTTGAAGAGGCGGAAAGGCGGAGAGGCGGAATCTGAAGGCGTACCTTGTCCAGAGCCTTCCCGTAGCTCCGTTGCGCCTTGGTCACGTCTTTGAGGTCATTTGTGATGGCGTCGAGGCGGTCCTTGACCGGATTCTGAAGAGTTGTCATGGCCATGCTGATACGATGGGAGTCGGCATCAGCTACACGGGGAACATATGTTAGTCAATACTCCAAAGGTCCAAGGGCTGTGCAGATCGCATACCGGCAGCAACCTGCTCCCTGGCGGCCATAAGGTAATCTATAATCTTGTCGACATCTTGGATGGCGGCCGTGAGGTTCGACTTGCGCATGCGGGCGAGTTCAGCCTGCAGCGGGCCAAAAGGCGAGACAATGTCCTGGCCCAGCCCAGCCATGGTCGCAGGTGGAGCGTGGAGGTTGTGGAGCGATGTAAGGTGTTTATCGAGTGAAGCCGCGCATGAGGCTGGTAAGATGGAGCATCTGGATGCGAACGAGGGGAATCTCGGCCCTGCGAATGGGTTCTCCAAGAAGGTCTGTTGGGTTCAGGTGGGAGGATTGCCGGCAGCGGCTGGAGGTTGTCATCCAAGCAGAGGTACCGGACGAAGTACCACGGGCAGCCGCTTATCGATAGGACAGCTGCCGGCGTCGCGGATGGCGAGAATGGGGAGTCTCGGCCCTGGCAGGAATTATGCAGATAAGCATGACAGTGTGTCATTACTTACCTAGTATGCATAAGGTAAGAATCTTTACTTAGGTACTTGTGCCTAGTATGGGCCGAGTCAATCGCTCCTTGTTGCGTCGGATGCCTGCATTACGTAACGCTCCTGAACTCACGCCCCTGTGATGCATCAAGCGAAACATGCAGCTTTCATTCTCGGCAGTAGGAACTACTTACCTGTATTACCTTATCCTATCCAGTGCATCGCTCAACCTCGCCTCTGCAGTATACCTAGTATGCGCTGACAGCCTGAATCACCAAGACAAAACTCCTAGGAACTCGGCATCAACCCGAAATGACGGGCATGCCATGCCATGCCATGTGTTTTACTTAGCTACTTTTACTCCCTGCTTGCCGTGATTGAGAGGCCTCACTAGCAGCCTCGGATCAGCGGTGAACCCCGTTAAGGAGCAGCAGGCCCGCCCCGCTCTGGAGCCGGAAGCAAGTCTAGCTGCAGGTCCAAGATGCGTGGATGCATCAACCAAAGAAAAGGCACCGACGACGAGTCTGGAGTAGCGGTTGATAGCGCGCTGCCACATTGCATCCATCACATGCGGGCTCTCTCCCAGCTTTGAGGCGTCGACCCGGTATTGACTCTGAGGCTGCTGCTCTGCCGCTAATACATACCTTGACTGCCTACTGATCTCAGGACTGCCGTTGCAGCAGCACATGCGCAGCAGCCATCAGACAGCGGCCGTGTGCAGTGCAGTGCGCAGGCACCCCCGGATCCCAGCATCGCCAGGCCAAGATCCCGGCTGCTTCTGCCCTCGAAGATGCTCCTTGTTTAGCCCGGCCCGGCCTTGAACGCCTCCAGGGGCTGGCGATCTCCACAATGTCCTTCATGCCGTCCTTCTCCCAGGACGGGAGGCTCTATCGAGACGAAGACCACTCTGGCCTGGCCAAGCTGGACCGACGAACCTCTCGACCTCTTCCCTCCGATGGGACCTTGAACCTCCCCGAGATGCACATGGTCGACACGGCACATCGCGCGGAGTCCAGCGCCAAACTGCCGCAGCGGCACCTCGTCTTCCCGGATCCCATCGCCTTCAAGTAGGTTTACATCGGCTAGAGATCAGCATTGCAGACAGCAGCGCCAAACACTGACCCTCTTCTGACAACAGGTTTCTCGAGAACGACCCATGCGTGGAAGTGGTACACCGACGAAGCGTCCTCCGCGGCTATGACCTGTATCTCGTCGAACAGTGGGCCTGCTCGCGGCGGCCCCCGACTTTGGTCATTGCTACCTACACCGGCAACGAAAAGGACTCCATCGTCGTCGGGGTGCTGGCGGTGCCGGCAGACGAGAGCTTATTGTCCGAGGAGGTCCGACTGTATCTGAAAAAGACGGAGCAGAACCATGCGCGACCGAAGAATACCGAGCTCGGCGAGCTCATGGTCACGAATCTCAGCAGTTTCCCGTCTTCGCTCACCGTCATTGCAGTGCCCGAGGGCGATCTCCGACAATACCGGAACCTGTTCATCGTGAACGAAGACTTGAAGCGTCTAGGATGCTCTGGGCGATCTGGCCTCACGCTTACGGAACCCACTGAAGCGACTCAGTCCAAGTTTCAGCAGCTTTACCGAATTAACGATCGCGTGCCCTTGAAAGAGGCGGTGGTGGAGCTTGTCAAGCTTTGCCAGGTCGCCCTGTACATGTTCGACAAGCTGGACCACGCCTATATCGACGGCCTGCTCTGCGATGTTACCGAAAGGGCGATTAGTAACTGGTGGACCGAGGTCGGGGCCGAGCACTACAACTACGAGCCGACAGATGGGATTCTCGGGCCATCGACCGTCGCAGCCCTGCTGGGAATGCTGATGGGGGCGCGAAACCGACTGCACTGGCAAGGCGCTCCCGTTCCAAAGGATGTCTTCGACCTCGAGGGTACCAAGCGCGGCATTTCCTACTTTCAGAAGGCCCTGAAGCTGGAAAGAACACGACGGCTAGACCAGCAGACGCTTTTCAAGCTGCACACAGCAACCACCAAGGCGGCGGTCAAGGAGGACTGGGGTGTACAAAAGGCCATCAAGTCGACAGTCACGGAAATTGGAGGCAAACGCGGAGAGATTGTCATCGACATGGTGTCTGGAAAAGACAAGGCTGGCCTTGCTGACATCGAAACCGTCGACATTGACAAGTTTGCCAGCTTGGTATACGGCGAGCGGCCAAGGTGGCTTTGGCATGGCAAGCCGCGCCGGACTCCGGTAGGCCAGCCTGAGCAGGAAGATCAAGACGCGGCTTCACCACCATCAAAGGCGGAGGCAGCCAACCAGCCTGGAAAGCGGACCCATTCCTTACCAGTAGAGGACGACTTGGAGATGAAGCGGAAGGACGAACTGCTCTCCCCAGATGCTGGAAACGCTATACGCCCTACCATGAGCATGATGGAGGGCCCGGTAGAGAGAGATGCTTTGCACAAGACTGTCTTCAAGAGCGTTGCCGGAAAAATGAGCGACGCTCGATCAGGCTTTGGACGCTTCAAAGAGGCAGTTGGGGCCAGAGGAAGAGGCCATGGCACGCGCCTGTCCATTTCGACCAAGGAGGATGTTCTGGAGAACGGGAACGCCAACGGATATCAGAACTTGAGCATCCCGCCAAGCCCCGCTGCCGCGGTCAGCCGGGCGTTTACCTGGAAAACGAAGCCGGAGGAGTATTTATCGGCTATCAGACGGGGAGATCCTGACGCTCTACCTGGGTTTGCAGCGGTGTCCTCGCCTTCGTCTACAGCGGACCTCAAAGGTGCATACGAGAGGCGGCCGAGAGATTCGGACAGATCTCTGGATGTTCTCGGCCCCGACGTGCACAAACTGTCCCACCAGAGAACGACTTCGGCCGTGCCGTCCATTGCTGAGAGCGACGTGGAAGCGATCTGCCCCCAGATCAGGGAAAGGTCCGATCCGCGGCAGCTGGCGCTATCAAGACGTCACAGCTGTGACGTAGCAGAGGTGTGCACGAAGCGGGAGCTCAACGAAAACCGGTGGGCGCGCCGTATGTCATTTGGCGACGCCGAAGAAGCCGTGCTGTCATGGGACGAACTCGTCGACCTTATGGACGAAACAGAGGATGAAGACGAGGCTGAAGCTCGAGCGGTGAGCGCTCGCCGCCTCGCACAATACATCGAAGGCATCGTGCAAGGCATCGAGCCCTGGGTCAAGGAAAAGATTAAGCTTCTGCAGCTTCTTGACGACAAATACGGCAGAGACAAGGCAGAAATACAAAACCTGCATCATCAATTCAGCGAGATATATCACCGAGTCAAGTACAGCTCAGACGAGATGCTAGCCGAGGAGCGTGCCAGCCTGACTGAAAGCGTCAAGGAGATTGAAATCCTCGTGGCACGCCTCGATTACGAGATCAATGCGCTGGTCCAGAAAATCAACGACGTGGAAGACGGCATCCAGAACTTTGAAAGGCAGGTCGAAGACGTCGAGAGGCGAGCAGAGGAATTGAAAAAGCAGCTTGAAACGGAGAGTTGGCTGCATTGGTTTGTGAGGACTCTGACTGGCGTGGGCACCGGCCCTCACATCACCCGGTCCGCTGAATCACGATGACGCGCGTGAGAAGTCTGTATGCTTTAACCCCCGTCTGTCGATGCTTCCTCTGTTGCTCTATCAACTTTAATCGTCATCTTCTGAGAAAAAACTGGGCTGGAGTTGGAAAAACACCTGATTCATACATATGGGGATACACGGGAACCGGCGTTTTATACCTAGTCTTCTCTGTCATACTTTTTTGTCTTTCTTGCAAGAGGATAGATACCAATTGGCAGAGAGGATGTTTGATTGCAGCCTCGTCATCATAACGGGCGATTATCTGTTTGGTAGCTTTATACATCTTTGACATGGTATCGTGTATATCCGTGATCCCATAATATCAAAGCCCGTTTAAACCGCATGCATTCTGCATACTCCTCCTCCCTCCTATCCCCACCCCATATAATCGTACAACCGACCTCCGTATGACGTCCCATTCACACAAGCCCTCGAAGGCGGTGATCATAATCAAACGAGAGAACACGCCAATGTGGGAAATCTCCAACTCCGCATCGTCGCAAGTACCCCAACAACAACAACAACAAGAGAAGAAAAAGACCACCTAGAACATGCCACCGGCCTGAGGGCCTCCGCCCATGGCCTGACCCTGCTGCTGCATGATCTCGCTAATCTTCATGGAAGTGTCGAGGAACTTTGCCGTGCATCGGTCGAGGCAGACGGACTCGCCCTTGTTGAGCTCGCCCTCGCGGTAGTCGGTCGGGACGCACTTCTTCTGGCACGTCTTTTGCAGGCTGTTCCGCGGGGGGAAAGGTCAGTATATATGACTATCTCTTATCTTGAAGTGAGGGGCTCTGCGAGGGTTTTTTTATTTTCCATACCGGTTGTATGTATCAGCCATCATGCGCATCTCGCCCTCGACGGCAGCAATCTTTTGCTCCGAGGTGGGCTGAGGACGACCGATTCCCAGGAAAGACATGATTGACGTATATGTATGAGTTTGTGTGTGTGTGTTTTTGCTTTTTTTGTTAAGAATGAGAGATTTGAGGTGAGCGGTGTCGAGGGGCGTGTTCTTGAAGAATTGATTTTCTCTTTTGAATTAGAGGTTGATGTCGTCACAGCTTTTTTTGGGAGATTGCAATTTGAGGTTTGGTAAGAGGAGGCAAAATTTCCCTTGGCCGGCAGGACTCGAGATTACATAATGTGCTATCGATAAGGCTATGGCTGAGATGCGTGCGCATCCCATCCTTCTCTTTACACAGGCGTGGTTTGACGCAGTATTACCGTGCTTAATGATTACCGGGCGGATGGCTCTCCCTTGCCTGTGCTAAAGTTCATCATGATATCAAATTTGTATGGATAATTTGGCCGCAGATGGGTACTCCAGGCAATGAGCTGACAGGAGGCTTATCCGTTGCGCTGACCAGCTAATACATCTGGTGGGGGCGTGCGAAAGCTGTCCAGATAGGTATCATCGATTTCGTTGCTCAGGTAGTCTGAAAAGGCGCTCAGGCGGACTCGAACAAATTCTGCCTACCTTAAGATATGCTATACATTAAGCAACAGGCAGTCACAATAAAAAAGGGACGAAAAACCGAAGAACATTCGTGTAGATAATAGGGGAGATACATAAGATTCCCTCAGATGGGTCGGTAACACACAATAGGCTGGAGTGGGAGCGTGCTGCTTCTGTGGGTGTCGACCACCTTGGCAATGAAGACACACCATTGACGAGGCATAAGATGGATGGCTAATGAGCAGAAGGACGAATGAGCGGTCGATACAGGGTAAAGAGTATGGGCTTGGCGTGGCTTGTTACATCCTGAACGAATGCAGCTGGTCTTGTTGAGCCTACCATGCCTGTACCTGTATCATTATAAGGTAGTTGTCCATACAGTGGTCTACCTCAAGCATGGATCGTGATCGCTGGTCGTGGGTGGTCCAGCCAGCCAGACCGGCAGTATAGGCCACGGCATGGGGCCCTCACGCCATCGATTGTGTAATAGGCGCACGGCGGTTACGACAGGAACGTGCCACAGGGGGGAGGGGAAGGGGAAACGGATGACGGGAAGACAAGAAGGCGTTGTGGGTGTGTTTCAATCCTCTTGTTCTCTGTGGGCTCTCTGTATCAAGCTTTTTGGCCAGTGGCCAGCCATCTTTGGTCTTGGTCTGTGATCGGGGAGGACGGGAAGACGGAAGGCTTGTGGTGACACGGATTGCTTTGCGTTTGTGGAGGTGGGTAAGCTTTTCACACAGATGTGCCAGCCATCCAGCCTTATCTTGATATTGGAGCAGCTCCTCCGCGCACGTATGTATGTATGTATGTATGTATGTATGTATGTATACATGCTACTGTCGGTATGGAGGGTATCAGCGGCGAAGGGGTGCGTGAGTGCGTGAGTGCGAGATGCAGGACAAGCTTCATGCCCAGTTGCAGACCGACACGGTAGCAGTGGCCTTTGCTGTGGCTGAATGAATGCATGCGAGTCTGAATGAGAAATGACGGTATCGCGTACGAGGCACGCACACACCTCACCCATCCATCACCACTGCAGCTGCAAGCTACTCGTACTTGATGCTTCGTGGATCCCACGACATGTGGGTTGGGTGCTCAGCCCTCTCAAGCCGAGAAAGATGGTCCAATGCAACCCTTTACCTGCGGCGCACCGGCGAGAAATCGGTGATTGGACGCACCCAGGGTCGACACCAGAAGGGCGAAGCGAGGTGAGAGCGTGAGAAAAGAGAGCGACTGGAGACTTGTCTGGCTCCTCCAGGACGGCCCAGCTATCGATCAAAAGGCAGGCCGATAGAGGGGGCAAGAGGAGGCCCCTCAAGAGCGCACATGCATATTATTTCGCTCCGTGCCTCTGCGGCCAATGGATCTCACGCCTGGGCAGCGACTTGGCCATCCATTTGCTGCCTGCGAGGCCGATGGATCGTAGCGGCCGTCTGAACCTGGTCCGATGGGACGAGGGCAGATACGGACCCGACGTGTTTGTCGACGGGGCGAGTCGTTAAATCACCATGAGTTCACCCCCCAAAGGCCGGTCCGGTACGAATGAGCCTATCCATTTGTTCTTCGTGAGTCGTAGCTTTGCTAGCATAGGTAGCTCGTCTGATACCTACCTAGTAGGAAGCAACAACAATAACAGCATGGTTCAGTTGGTAGTAGCATGAACAGCTGCTGGTTGCTCTGGGCACACGGAGCACCCGGGCATTGATGCTCATCCTACCCATTATCGATCGGGCTGCAACAGAGAAACGGCCCGGCTCGGCAAGGACCAGCTTTCATGCTGTCGCCAACTAGACCTGGAGCCGTTTGCTTGCTTGCGTGCTTCTTCCCCCACAGGGACAAGGACGCTGGTGCTAAGATGTGTCAGTGTCTCGCCCCAATGCATCGCTACGAGTAATGAGAGGAGTGCTAAAGCCAGGAGAGCAGGTACTACGAGAAGAGCGAGACGACAGACCAAGCCAAAGAAAACAAGCCAGGCTGGCCCTCGGTTTGCTGCTGCTGCTGCTGCTGCTGCTGCTGCTGATACCACCAGGTACGAGGGTGATTATCGCGCACGCACCCTTTGCCGGCTTGGGGAGGAGTGCGCACAGTAGTCCCGATGCTTGGTTACCAGATGGAACCTTGAGTGATTTTATCCGGGCGGCTGAGCCCAGGTTATTCGTTGCTACTACTACTACTAGCATTGAGCCAAAGGGGAGCCAAAGCGAGGACGGAGCAGATAATTTGATGTCAACAGCAAGCAACAGACGATATACTCGTACTAAGTACTCGTACTGACTCACCGACAGTTAAAAGGTACATACCTTGATATTTGGAGACACAACCTTGGAAGTGAGATTGAGCTGTCAGACAGGAGCAGACACATCTGAAGCAGGTTCATGCTCGGGTTCAATTGTTGGGCTCTGCTCTGCTCGGTGTTTGTTCCCTGTTCCCTAGGCAGGTACGTCCGGAGTACCTGTACGCCGTATCGCCACCTCCACTGCCCCGGAATGACAGTACAGGTACCTCATGCTTGGCTGCAGCGGCAGCATCGCGGCATGTGCGAGTCGCTGGCCATTTTGCTTGTGATGGCCACGTTGCGCCTTCCTTGCCCTGTGCTTGGTGCAATTTGTACCTACTTCAAGACCAGAACTTGCAAGTGACAGGGCTCGTGCTTGTCCATGTACGACGTACCTGTACTCGATACTCCATATTTCTGGTTTCGGCCGGGGTTCGAGAGCAGCGCCCAGCGCTTGGATACCAGTCCGCGACTTGATGGCCATCCGCTGATGTCTGTCTGGAGCGAGGACCCCGGAGCGCTGGCCAGGTACCGCCGGGGTAATCGGGCAGGCTGGGCTAATGTTTCTGATACACAAGCTGCAGTGACCATCGTATCGTATCGCATCGTGCCTTCCCCCTCTGCGCTCCGGTGTGCTGTGCTGTGCTGTGCTGTGTGCACCCCCTCCGTTTGCGCTGGGCTGCGACTGCCAGCTTGTGAACTTTTCGGCTTTCCCCCCACCATTGATGAGGCTTGTGGAAGGAGAGACACAGGCTGGAAGACGAGCGCATCAAGGTAAAGAGCAAGAGGTACTTAGTATACGTTACAGACAGAGGTATACGGTAGATCTACCCATGAAGGAAAGAAAGACCCATACAATGAAAAAAAGTATAATCTGTAGGCAGTAACACACCTTCCGCTCGCGCGGTGGTCGTTACTGCCCGCCAAAATAAAACCGAGAAAAATAATGATACCTAAAAAAAAAAAAGAGACCTAGAAAAAAAAAGGGCCAATTCCCGCTTCGTGCTATCTCGGCTTATCCCGCCACCCCAAAACAAAAAATTCACACCACCCCAGACAGAAAGTCTTGCTCCTATTGCTCTCTGCATCCTGTCTGCCTAACCTCCTCTGACTCTCGCGCTCGCTCGCTCACCTCCTCTTTTCTTCCTTCTTCCTTCTTCTCTCCTTCTCTTCTTTTTCCCCTTTTCCTCTCCTCACAATGTCCTCCTCCACAGAGCCCCAGGACAATCCCTCTTCCTCAACCACCACCACCAGCCAAGATGCCTCGGGACGACAGCCCTCCGCCGCCTCCTCCTCCGCCGCCCAACTCGCCAGTGCACAGATAAGCCTGCGCAAGACGCTGCGCCAGTTCCCCGACTTCCCCATCCCGGGGATTGACTTCGTCGACATCATGCCCCTCTTCGCCAACCCGGACGCCCACGCCACGCTGCTGTCCGCTCTCGAGCTGCAAATCTCTGAGTCCTTCGGCGCCAACAAGCCCGATATCATTGTCGGCCTCGACGCCCGCGGCTTCCTCTTCGGCCCCGGCCTGGCCCTGCGCCTCGGCGTCGGCTTTGCTGCCGTCCGCAAGAAGGGCAAGCTGCCGGGCCCGTGCGTCACTGCCGAGTACATCAAGGAGTACGGCAAGGACCTGTTCCAGATGCAGCAGGATGCCATCCGCGAGGGGCAGAAGGTCCTGATTGTTGACGATATCATTGCGACGGGTGAGTCTCTTTCCGTGGCCCACGGCTATGCCGTATCACAGTTTTGAACGGACTTAAGGGGGCTGACTATAAAACTCTACAGGTGGTTCGGCGGCGGCGGCAGCAGATCTTGTTCACCAGCTCAAGGGTCAGGTCGTTGGTTACCTTTTCATTCTCGAGATTCCCGGCCTCAATGGCCGTGAGAAGCTCGGAGGCGCCCCTACTACTATCCTCCTTGAGAACCCCTAAGTTCTCCCAGGGACGGAGAAGCGGGCCTCATGTTCCCATTCTCTCGATAAGCGGCGCCATTCAGCACAGAGACGGCACGATTGGATATCAATTCTCTCACGGGCCGCTGGCCTTATCTCATTACAAGCGCCTACAACTCGGACGACAGCATTGCTATTCCTAGATGCTCGAATAGACTCGAGGCGCCAAGACGGACGACTTCTCAGCTGGCGCCGTGAATCCTAGAGTTCTCTGCTCTGCCTTGCTCGGCACGCTTCATACACATCAAAAGTTGTTTGTTGGGGCTTTTCCTTTTGGATTCCAAAACTCATCTCACATGTCTGGTTTCGATTTCCTATTCAACTTCATCATGGGGGCTTCTTGTGCAATTTTACAATCAAATAACCAATAGACTATGGAAAGAAGCGTTCTTCTCACCGGGAACTGGGGAGGGGGGTTGCAGTGCCTTTGTCTTGTCTGTTTCACGACAGCTCTCATCCCTGCTTTTCTCTTTACACGTTACATATACACTCATATAGATTGCCCCCCGCCCTTGTTGCTAGAGGATCGGGCGGAGCAGGCGATAACACAAAATGGAGCAAGATGTCGAAAATAACGGGAGCGCGCCATGGGTTTGGGGATCAAAAACAAAACATGTTGGGATGGAAAAGTGTTGGGTTAGGGATGGATATTTAATGATACAGCTAGGGGCTTGGTCTTCTTACAATTGAATATTTATCTCAATCTCTCAGATTCCGACCTGTGATTTCGATGTTACAGACGTTCGAAACAACACTCGGTATGGGCGAGCGTAACATGATGTTCTCCCTCGCCAACAAGGACCAATTCCCGATTGGCAGGCTTTTCGCACCAATAGCTCAGGGAGGCTGGAGCTCAGTCCTTGATGATTCACGGCTTGCTCTTACAATTGAGGATTTGTCTCTATCTAGCTCGTTTCTAGGTCCAAAGTTGCTCTCTCACATGTCTGATTCAATGCTCAACACCTTGAATTACCTAGACACCACACGCAGTACGAGTATGCTCCATTCCTCTCTTCCAACCAGGAAACAAAATCTATCTATGCAATCTCCAGGGATATCCAATTTCCTCCAACCCCAATCGATGCAGACGTTACAGAGGCTATATGTTCATATGCAAGCGCGATATGTAAAAATGCTATAGGATATAGTACATACTTGATTAAAAAAAAAAAAAAATATATATATATATATATATATTTAGGGACCCGTTATACTGGTTGTTTTGCTTTTCATCTCACAGCACAACCGCATTCTCCACGACAAGCCCCTGGCTTTCAACCCGATACTTGCGCCTCATGCCCACGCCAATGGCATGCCCGAAAAGCTCGTAGTCGCCCCGCGCGGCTCGGACGAGGACCATTGGGATGCCGTGCAGGCGCTTCATGCCCTTGGGCGTGGTCTGCTCCGTGTCGAGCAGTGGCCGCGTCACGTCGCGCCTGTCGTCTTCGTTGTCGTTGACGGCGTCGTGGTCGTCTTCGTCATCTTCATCGTCGTCATCGCCGCCGCTGTTCTGACTGGCTGGCGGCGGCGGCGGCGGCGGCGGCGGTTCGTCGAGGACAACGACGAGCTGCAGCGCCCTGTCGTGGGGCGAGAAGCTGGGGATGTTGTCCAGCTTGCGGCTGAAGGAGCAGCCGCCGCGGAGCATGACAATGACCTGGTGCTCGCGCGGCGCGGACGCGGGGAGCGGGCCCTCGCAGGCCTGGCCGGCGAGGAAGACGGTCGACCAGGGGAAGTTGGAGGCCGGGTTGCGGAAGTTGTAAAAGGGGTTGCCGGGGATGGGCGTGTCCGAGATGGACGGCATGGGGTACGCGCCGGGGCCGGTGGACGTGTAGGCGTCGAAACTGTAGACCTTGGCGGTGCCGGCGCTGGGGTCGGACTCGGGGATGGCGGTGTAGACGGGCTCGAAGACGGAGGAGACGGCGCGGAGGAGGGACTGGAAGAGGGAGTTGGAGGAGAGTGTTTCTGCGTTGAGTGTGTCGCCGTCGTCGTCGGCTAGCATGCCGTCTTGCTCTTCTGCTTTTGCATCTACCACTACATCGTCATCGGACGAGGCAAGCGTGTTGTTGTTGTTGGTATCGCTCGGCTTGTCGACCAGGAGCTCGATTTCCACGGCGTCCCTCCTTCTGCGGCAGGAAAACACCTCGTCCTTGAGATGCCTTACGTGTTCCGCGTGGAAGAAGACTGTCTCGTGGCGCCCCAGCTGCGTGTTGCCAATGTGTGTGATCCTCCACTTGTCTTCTCCCGTGGCAGGGTCCGACACCTGCTCGAGCTGGAGCCTCAGTCCCTCTAGAATGTTGACCGTTGGCCCCAGATGCGTCTGCCACGATAGATGGTTGCCGAACCGCGACGTGATTCCACTGGTGATGTCGTTGGCCGGGAACTCAATCAAGGATATGATGCGTTCCGGGGGAGCAGCGCAGGTGCCATTCTCCGGCAGCATGGCTGGGGGAAGAGTCCAGGGGAAGATGGTGTGGTTTGAGGTGGCCCTGTATCGAACCACCCGGCCCTTCTTCTTGTCTCGCATCTCCACCTTCTCCAGGGGCCCGTGTACGTTGGGCGTTCTGTACAGGTCTGTGAAGCGAGAGACGGAGAACAAGTCTGGCCTGGCCGCCGTGGCCGAGCCTATCAGGTGATGCTCTGAAGGCGGCCGAGGGGCCGGACAAGAGTTTGTGAAGCTTTCATCGTAGTAGGTGTAGACTGCGACGTCTCGGCTCTTCTTGGCTTTGCGAGCGCGGTCCTGTCTGTTGTGAGAGCCGCTACCCCTTTTGCTCTTTGGTATGATAAGCGGATGGCCTTCTGTGGTGAAGACGTAGGCGGCATCCAGCTTGTTGAGTGGATGGTCTGGGTCGAACAGCAGGTACATGTATTTTGCCGTCTCTCCCAAGAAGAAGCTCTCCATGCGGTCCTGCTTCTCGCCCGTCTGCACGTCCTGAAGCCCGGCCCAGCCGCACTCCGCATAGCACCGACGCCGAATGTCGCGGAGGACCATCTCGCCAACGTGCAGATACCACGGGTCGCGGGTTGCACGGTAGATGTGGTACGTCGACTCGATGAACTCGGGCCTCCCGGGCCACCAGCCGATGCCTGCCTCGACGTTGCCTTCGCGGACGGACCAGCGTTCGGGCAGCGCAGAGTACCGCGTCCACAAGGCTGTGTAGACGAGGTTCGCCTCAATGGCCTCTTCCACCTCACCGGCCAGGGCGAGGAGCCCCGGATAGAAGGCGCCCAGGCTGTCGATCCACATGGCATAGGGCTGGCCCGTGGCACGGTGGTTGTTGGAGTAATAAGGGAAGTGGCTCCGGTCGGTGTACAGGTACCGCTTGACCGAGGCGTGCGCCTGATGCCATGCCTGGAGGAAGGCATCTGACGTGTGCATCTCTGGTGGCAGCGGCGGGTGCAGGGAGTTTGGATCCAGCCAGCTGGTTGTGCTCTGTCGGCGCGACGTGGAGGCGTTGGGCATACCGAGGCCCGAGAGGAGGATATGGCTCTTGAGCGCATATTCAAAGAAGCTGTCCATGCCCGCGCCAATGCCCGCGTGAGGGCCGATCCACAGCCCGCGCTCGGCGTCGATGCCGTTCCCGATCAAGCCAATTTCGCTCCTGCGATGCCAGACCTCCCAGAATGCTCGCTTGGCGGCTTGTTCAAACCTGGCGTCTCCCGTGAGCCTGCTCAAGACGGTAAATTCGAGAACCAGGCTTCCCGCCCCGGCGCTGCAGGTCTCGGTAATTTCAGGACGGCCACTCTGCTCCTCCACTGCCTCGCCCAGGTTTTGGTGGAGAGGCGAGTTGACGTAAAAGGGGATGCCGCTGCGGAGATTGACACGAGGATACGGAATGCCCGTCGGCGTGTAGAAGGCGGGAAGCAGCCTCTCGGAGAGGTCGAGCGCGAGCCTCAGCAGCTGGCCATCGTACCTGAACCCATTGGGCCACGGAATAGGGGCCAGCTCCAGAGGATCATCGCCTGCGACTCCCTCCGGCCTGGGCACGTATCCGGTAATCGGCAGCTCCCCAATGGCGAACAGGTGCGCGCTAAGGAGACCGCCCACGCCCCGGATGACGGTCTCAAAGACCTGAACTTTGCTGTCGAGATCAAAGCCTCTGGCACGTATCCCAGCGCCGGAGGGCCCCGATCGCCCGTCTCCGTAGTGTCGCACAAACTCGGCCACGCCATCCTGGAAGTCGCTCAGAGCCTGCGGTCCCGTGTAAGGGCCGTTCTGCGGGCCGCCGGCCAGGATGGCAAGGGTAGACAGGCTGTCTATGAGGGTCAGAGAGTAGTTGCCGAGGGCATCGTTGAGGCTGATGCGCCCCGGATTGTCTCGATCTCGCGTCAGGGGAGTGCACGATATGGGACGCAGCTAAGCATATGGAAAAGGCACAAGTCGTTAGCTGTCTAGTTCTATATGAGAGAATCCGACCCCCCGGGAGCTGGAACATAGCAGCAGCCCCAACAACAATCTTCTATCGCAGCGGAACCCACCTCGTCTTCGGGAAACGCATGCTCCATGTAGTTGCTATATCCGTGATAGAACATGTCCACCGTCTCCTGCCGCAGCTGGGCCAGATAGTCTGCGCGCATGGCATCTACCGGCCGCAGCAGCGAGCATCCCAGCCATGCGAGCGCGATCGCCACCAGCATCACCATCGTCGTGTCGGAGCGCTTCGAAGGGCGTTGACGCGGCTGCTGCAGAACCATTCGGAGGAGCTGGCACGTGCCAGGCGAGGCATTGGAGGAGCGAGACGGTCGAGGAAGTCCAGCAGCATAGAAGCCGCGGTTGCAAAGGAGAGGAGCCTCCTTGTCTGGCTTGCGTGAGGCTGTTTCGGTATGGCGGATAGCCGTCAACGACGCTGGCCGTTGCGATCACCAGCTTCCAGAGTCATCATCGTCGTGCTTGTCTGTCATCTTTGCGCAGCGCCACAAGTCGAACCCGGGTTGAGCAGAGGCGTGGCTGAGGACGCGATCGAGCTGTGGCTGGTGCGACTTTCACTTTCTGCAAGCTGCTGACCAACGCACTAATCCTCGTGCGGACCGCTCTCTGCTTACCAATCAAACGATCCCAGTTCTTTCATTCCAACTTCTCTCGACCTTTTTTTTTGGCTGAAGATGTTTCGTCTCCGTCTTATTGCCAAAATCTATCCCATGCGAGCTTCAGGTCACCGGCACGCTTCCCCGGCATATCAGCCGACCGGCGATAAGGGCATATCGAGCAGGGTTTAGGCGAGAAGCGTGCGGAATACGACTCTGTCTTGAACAGGTTACAGGATATCGATACTCATGGGAGAGCATGAAGCACTGAGTCACCAAGGCGTTCCAGGAACGAAGGGCCCTGGCAGGGCTCGCCTCGTTGCATGGGGATGGGCATCGTTTCTCGACTTGTGTTCCGCACGCCCTCAGCGCGCTTATCGCTTGGGCTTCGTGGCGAGGCTGGGTCTGTGTTGTACAAACCGCAGGGACGGAAGGGTGTGAAGTCGGCGCTTCCTATCCCACAGCCAGTTTTTGGTTGATGCTTGGGGTGGAGTTGTGGATTTGGCGCTGGAGTTTGTGGGATGCAGAGCGTGTAACACGAGCGGCTAAGCCAGCCATCCACGGGCGTCTATCTCAACCGCTCGCCCTCACATCATGGGGTAGACGAGAGGCTGAACGATCGGCCCTCGCTATGATAGCCGCGTTCAGCAGGAATCCACCTTTGGGGGTCTATATCCGACGATAACTCGGAACATGCCCGCTCCATCGACATTGAGATGAGTCTGAGAGCATGCCGTGTAGCCGCTCAAGACCCGGGTTGACAGCTTCAAACAATGGCAGGCATCTGTGGTACATCCGCAGGAAGCGGCTTGATAGACGACTTTATCCCAGCAAGTAACTGACAACTTGTCCGGGAGTTGCGTGGACCTTTGAGACTTTGTGTGTCGAGTCCGCGACTTGGTACTAGACTTCCAAGGAGAGGCAGCAGAGGAGCAACCTGGTACGGGGATCTCCAGGAGTCGCTCGTCAGTCCGGGTAGGTATCCAGAAGCCTGGCTACAACGAAATGAAGTATGACAGGCATCACGGGCGTGTCCATAGCCTTCAACTCGGCCTGAAGCCGAGGCTGGGAACAAAGACCTTGTCTGAAAGCAAGGCACATCCGCCGCAAGTGGACTGTACCGAGCAGCGCCTGCATTTCGGGGCGATGTCCTCATCTTCCGTCATGGCACGTTTGCCCGCCTCTGGCCCTCGAAGCAAGCCCCAGAAACTCTCCAAGACCGGGGACGTCGCCGGGGTTTTGCGACATCTCTTGTCTGTCGCTTAGTTGCTGAGGCTCAGCGTTAAGTCCAGCTGTAGCCGAACGGCTCTTGGGACGGCTGCCGTTTCTGGATCCATTCTGATGCCCTGTCAGATGGGCGTGGCAGCGGCATCTTTGTCCGTGCCTCGATCCTCAGTTTCCTACTCTCCCAGTCTAATCTGATAACCCTGGTTCGTAGACTCCAGCCATGGGCAAATCCGCTACTACTAGTAGTAGTATTCCTCGTCCCCGGCATCAAGCTTCTCCACTTGCGCCAGAAGAATGGGTAATCAGTAATAGAGGAAGCAAACCCAGTCGCACAGGAGGCAGAACACGCGGTGGCCACGCGGACTTCGGCCTGTTTACTAATGGCCCCTACGAGGCATCGTAGTTGATCCGAAGTGCGAAGGAGGAGCATCTTCGTTGAGAAGCTTCTCCCGTGTAAGACCGCATATACGGGCCTAAGCGGCGGCCGAAGCTGGTGCTGTCAGCAAGCGGCTTCTGGAACCTGTCAAGGGCCGTAAAGGATTCTTGCAACTGGTGATACTAGTACATGTGTGTCCCTGGTAACAGTTGGGTGCGGATCAAAGGGTCGCAGGAACGGGCCTGGCGATGCGATTACACTGCCATCGAGATCCATCGTCAGGCTGAAGCACGGGCACGATGGCGCAGCATGTAAGTCGACGGCTGACAGGATTCTTCTCCAGTGTTCTGTGACTTGCGTATCGTCATGGTTATTAGTACGTACTACAGAGAAACACAGACGAGTTAGCTTGCCCAAGGAAGACTTGAAACCAGCATGAGAGGAGGATCCGCAGCAGCTTGCACGATGCCGCCTCTCCAACATTGAAGCTAACAAAGACCGGAAAGCCTCCCCGTCCGCCCTACCAGATAGTTCCCAGCCGGTCCCCTTCACAAGAGCTTCCACGCATCCATTGATCTCCTCTACTACATAGTACTACTACTAGCAGCAAACTCCAGCTTTTGTTAGACAGGGTGGCTAGGAGATTAATCTCGCTGGCTAGCATCTCAATCTCGCACTAAACAACTGCTAACAGCCAGCCTGTCGCAAATCGTCGCGCCATCGCTTCTCCCCTCACCTCCAATCTTCTCTCTCTCTCTCTCTCTCACTCTCTCCTCTCGTTCCATTCTTTTGTGCCCGGCGCGACAAGGAAGAATGAGATTAGCGCTACAGTCCACGGGGCTTGCGATCCGTACTGTGAGTACATGAGAGGCATGGGTTGTCTTGATGGTCTCTCTTTGGGCTAGCTGGTTGATTGCTGTCAGGGGATGCAAGTCTCATCTCACCAGCAGGGGAAGGGGAGGGGGGCGTGTGTGTACAGTACAGGCCTTGTATGTGCTCCAGCGTCAAAAGGCTGATCGTCCTCGTACGGGGCCCCTTGCTGTGCTACTCCGGGTTCCATTCAAGCAAGCAGCGAGGCGTATGGCTAGTAGTAGTACTCGAACGGCGCATCTCCTAGCTGTTCCCTTCCGAGGCTAAATCAATGAGAATGAAGGCATGGCATGGCATTCATCAAGGCGAGGAGGCTAGGCACCTCTCTCCCCTTGTCCCCTCCTCGCAGAGGCGCTGTTCCCATGTTCGTATTCAGGCCTTGTTCCGCGACTGAGCTTCCATCATTCGCACAAGCGATGGGATGCCTGCCTTGGAATGGATCTGTAATCTGTACGTCGACCGATCGAGGAGAGCCCGCCTGCCACGGACAACGTCCCCGTTGCTTCCACTCCCCCTGCCAGCTCGCATCATCTCACTCATCAGCACTCTGTTTGTACCCTTCTCTTCCCTCCTCGTTACATATCGGTTCTCTCCCCATCTCTTCTCGTGGTCGACCAGGGAGTGGTATTACCGATACTCCGTGAACATGCGCTTCCTCTTGGCCTGCTTTCGGCCGGGTGATATCAAAGAGACAAGGTCAGTTGTTGTTGTCGCTAACCACCCCCTTCCACTCTCGCAACTTCATTCGCTTCCCTCGCCTGCACCGGTAACGACACGCCCGTCCATTGTATGTGGCACAATTGAACAAAGAACATGAACGCTATACACATGCATATCGTATACTATACACACATACATACATACTACATACATGGACCTCCCTCCCTCTTTGGCAATCGCCGATGCGTCTGTCCTGGGCTGTGGATCTGGCAGAGGAAAGCCGACAGGGACCGACGTTCGGGGGGCGGCTCCAGATCACATGGCTGATAGGCCATGTAGCCGTCTCAAAGGGGGTGGTGGAGAAGACATGGGTTGAGAGGAAAACGCAACGAGAAGATTGTGTGATGGAGGCCACATTCAAAAAATCCCGGATCATCGTAGCGCCCACGCCCTGGAAGCCTGTCAAGGCTGAATGGAACCCTCTTCCCATCACACGCCCTGTCTTACCCTCCTCACTTCCTAACTACGCGTACATACATTCAGACATACACAGACATACACAGACATACAACTACTGAGTAGGGGATGTGAGGGTTCGTGTCCTGTAATAACTGGTGGTCCAGAATCTAGTACTACATGTATTGGACTGCAAGATGAGCTTCCATACCCCGTATGGACTGCAAGGGCATAGTACATGTATCGCCCATGACCCGCAAAGTGGATGACGAAAAGGGCCGTGAAATGCACACAGAACTGCATACAGTACTCGTAGTACATACATGGATGGAACTCGTGTCCTGTATTGTGTTGCTATTGTCATGCAGCACCGCAGCCCAAGTCCTGAATTGCCGCGCCGAGCAAGGGGACTTATTCTCGATCGGAGCCGCCCGCCTGCTCCAGGAACCCAATGACATTGGTGGATGAATCAAAAGAGTCGAAATGATAACGGACATACAGAGGCACCGGTTCCAATGACAAATTCCAGGCGCAAACGGAGTCTGTCCACCCGCGTTCGTGGAGGCTTTATCCCCGTGCAAATCAAGCTCGGCCGGTGACAGACAAGGGCCTAGGCTCTATTAGCAGCAGATCACGGACAAAAGCCCCTTGACAGATGGGGGGAGAAGAAGGCCCTGGTTTCTATGGGGGTGATTTCGGTGATCATCTTTGTGGAGATAGCAGTAAGTTAGGGGGGGGGGGGCATGGTAGCAGAGCCGGAAGGGCTTCCGCTTAGCCTTGGTCGCCTTCTCTGTTCATGGTTGAGCGAAACCCGTTCTTGAGCGATGAGCTTCTCGACTTCCACACACATACACACACCCCTCCCCTTCCATTTAATGATGTTCCTCGCTTGCTTTAGGGCTCGAGCGGATGCTCGTCTTCCCGAAGCCACAGGTCTGATGAAAGCGGCATTGAGTCATGAGCGGCATCTGGTCCCTGGCCATGCGAATCGCCCATCGAGCAACATGGCCGCATGCAAAGCAGCAGCAACTCCCGCGTGCCTTTTAATTAATTACACCGAGTCCGACGACCGAGCTGCGCCTTGAAAGGAACCGAGCTACTGCAAGCCCACCAGGGAAATACTAGGCACAAGGCCGAAGAGAAGGCGCCGCAGCTCTGCAGGTATTGAGTGGCTTTACGCACGACGAACATGAAAGGAACTCCGTCAAGCGAACCACTTGGCCAGACGCCCACCCTACCTACCTACCTACCTACTAGTAGTATGAATAACACAAGAACTCACCAACAATGACCGACTAGAAAGCCCCCCCTTGGCCGACGCCGTTGTAGAGACGGCCTTGACGCGCGGGTGATGGACAATACCTAGCCCGGCGGCTCAAGGCAGGGCCCGTATGGCTGTATAGTAGGCGCTAAATGAAAAGACCAGCGCGAGAAGGGGGCTCGACGGCGGCTTCAGACCCGTTGGACTGTTGGCCCAATGCCCGATATTTGTTTTTACAGAATCACCAATGTCTTTGTTAGTTGCTGCTGCTGCTTCTCCTGACAGTGAGACTGAGATCGAAAGCATGCCGTAGATATCTCAGGTTGTTGGGCCTTTCTCGCAAGTTTTACATGTCTGTAGTACGTTGGGAAGAAGATCATCTAGACCGAGAACCCTTGCATTCTTGACGTCAAAATAAGTCTCGGAGAATCGAGAGACAAAGGAGGGGAAGAGAAAAAAAATACAAGAGCCAATGTCATTGATTTTGTGTCTTGGAAGTGTCTCATCAGCGCTGCTCAAGGCGTCATAGAGCATCCCCAAAATTTTGACAAGACAATCGAGATCGACTCAGAGAAGGCAACGGAGAAACAGAGACGCTAAGACATGTCTCACGCCCCTTGCGAATTTTTCTCACCTCCAAAAAAAAAGGGGGGGGAGAAGAGGGGAAACCGGTGAAGAGAAGATCGTATTTGCCCAGCCATCTTGACAAAGTTCGTGGGTGATCGGCCTCCTCCTTTGTCTCAGGTTATTGAAGATTGCGTCTTTCTCGCGTGGGGGGGGGGGGGGGACAAAGAAGCAATTCATGTGTCCGGATACTAGTATAGCCACCCTCAGCCTTTCGGCTCTCTCTCCCTCTCCCTTTAACCCCACGTGGCCTCTTTGTGAGAGGAAAAAAAAAACGAAGCCGCCACAACGCAACAGCTCCGAGTAGAACGACTCAGCTCCAAGCCAGCAAAGTCACCGAGGGCTTCTTCTTCTTCTCCTCCCCCCCATCCGCGACGGTGGCTGTTGCCTTTGGGCCATTCTCATCTCATGATCATCTCAATCTCATTCATTCCTCCATTCATAGGAGCCATTAAGCCATCAAACCCGCCAGAACTAGCTGTTTTGACCACGCCCCCCCTTTTAGCGCAGTGACGACGGAACTCTCCCGCTAGAGCGCCATCGATGGCTTCGTAACTACGCGTTACGCTATGGGAAGCCAAGTGCTTTTCACGCAAAGAGGCGGAGGACTCGGAAGAAGATCCTCAGCTGGTGAGAGCGAACCTGTCTCTCTCTCTCTTTCTCTGTGCTGCTAGAACTTGCTTCTGATGCCTTTCTGAGGACCTCCCCCCCCCCCCCCCCCCCCCCCCCTTCATCAGTGCCTGGGCATACAGGGACACATTCAAATCCGCCGGACAATGATCCCAATGTTCTCTCGGCCCATGATCTACGACGGTTTTTGACGACCCCCCGTCCCTGACTCCCAGTCCCATCCGGACCATTGCCCTTTTGTCAATCCCCATCAGAAAGAACAAGCCGCTTGCTGGACACACTCCTCTCAAGAAACACATCATATCGTCCGAGCCGTTACAGCCTAGATACATCCATCACACTTTCTCCATAGGTAAAGCATCACAATCAACAAGAGAAACATGTAACATTACATCCCCTCAAAACCAGCCAAGCCCTCTCCCCGCCCCCCCTAAATCTCACTCAGCCCTGTGGGAACCGCTGCCGTCTGCTAAAGGTTTTCTGACCTGCCCTCTCCCAACGGCCAACAGCAAAAAAAGTAACAGGACGACAACAACGCTTCGGCAATCGCAAATTGCAAAAGGAGGGAAGGGGGCCCTCGTGGCTTTCACACCCTCATCCTCTGCCGTCTGCCTCGTGGCTCCGTCGTCCTGAATGATGGATCAACAGAGTGCTTGCCTTGATTGAGTTTTTGAGAACTGCCGCTCTCCGTGTCTTTTGTTCGGCTCGGCTAAAAAGAAAAAGGGGTGTGAGGTGTGAGGCAATCGTGCGTGTCATCGGGATGTATGTATCTTATTCGTAGGCATAATAATGGCTAGTACAGTACAGACCGACAAACGAGAGTTATCAGCATGAAGCATACGATGTAGCACAGATGAGCGTAGAAAGACTAGGAATAGCATCATAGGAACATGCTGTAGTGCCTATATCCAGGAACCACCTGTCACAAAGGCAGCAGAAAAAGCCCCCAAAACCTGTTCAACCACACATCTCGGTGCCTTGCCTTGCCTTGCCTCCCCTTCCCTCCCCTACGCAATCCCCCCCCTCTCTCTCTGTTTCCCCAGGAACAACCCCCATTCGTGCCACCGCCCCTCTTCCCCTGCCCCATGCGTCCTCTCCATCATCAACATCATCATCATCATCATCAACATCATCATCGTCATCATCATCATCGTCATCTTCATCTCCTCCCCCAACAGCATCATGCCCCCCTCTCCTCACCATCTAGACAACAAACCCGCCAAGAATGCTCAAACCCCATCACCGTGCGAACTCCCTCCCCCCCTTTTTTGAGGGTGTATGTACTTGTAGCCTTCTTTTCTTCATGTTGGTTCGCGCAAAAACACCAGGATGTGGCGTTCGTAAAACAACCAATCAAAACACCATCACTGGACAAAATGCAAACGCAGAACATGCCCATGCCCATGCCCATGCCATCCCTCTTGACCCCCAAATTGTCGAAAAAAAAATAGCATGCCTTGTTTCTGTTTCTGTTTCTATTTCTCCTAAAGCGGCAAAATCGAGGGTCTGCTTCCCTAACCCCCAATTCCCCCCCCCTTTCTTTGCTACTTGCTTGCTTGCTTTGCTTGCTTTGCTGTTTTTGGTGCTTTTGATGCTGCTGCTGGTACCCGTGATGCGATGGTTGAGACATGCGCCGCACCACGGAAACTTACACGGAGACTTTTCCTGGGAGTCTCCTTGCATGACTTACCCTACCTACAGGTTTTGCATCGTGGGGTAAATCCAAGTGGCTTTTTCTTCTTCCTTGCTTCATTCTCGAGTATCTGGTCGGAGCTGAACTCCAAAACTCCCAAGGAGATATTAGTCCTCATGTTCCACAATCTCGTTTGCCCAAGGTTACCCCCCCATCTCACCGGTGCTTCACAACTTACAATACCCACGCTTGTCCGGGTCCCCGAAACAGGTACCTACCAAGTCAGGCTATCTAGTATCCATGACACAGTCTCACAGATCATGTCTGTAGTATAATACCAACGCCTAACAAAAACAATCTCATTATAATACCGAGAGCAATCCTTCCATCATTCATCCCTGGCCAGGCACCGTTCCTTGTCATCGTATCCCCAGCGCCTGGCGTTTGTCGGCTATTCGCAGCCAATACAGTGAGAGCAGACTTGTTACACACACCCCCTGGCCCTTCGCGTCACCACCACACCATAAAGGGCCATCTCTGTAGGGACAAACAGGTATTCCAGCTTGCTCGTTGAGACTGATAGCTCACCTGCGTTGACTACCAATGCACACCGATTCCTTCTTTAAAATACGAAGTACAGGGCATCTAAACCAAGTCAGCATGATTCAAATTCAGCCCGACAATTGGTGTAGAGGAGGAGGCATGTCTGCATATGCACATGATAGATTCGAAAGATAGTACTGAGCACTGACCTGGCGCAAATCTACGTGCATTTTGTCACCTCTTCCCCACCCCCAGACCAGCCAGAAGTGAGATGAGAGTGTCGTCCGTACAAGTATACCTCTCTCCATCAGTCCTCGTGTTACCCAGTGTGAATACATTGACTATCGTGTAGAGCAGCAGTAGAGAAAGGTTACAGGGGATCCTGCTGCAATGGCATCCCAAACACGCTGCAAAGGGTCAAGCGCCGGATTTCGAGCCAGGAGGGGGTCTTTTCAAGCCAAAGGGGGGGGGGGGGGGGTGGGGGTGGAACTGGCGGGAGAATAAGAGAGGGGAGGGATTCTTCTTCATCCAATACAAGCGCACCAAGATGAAAGAGAAAAGCTTCTTGCTAGGTTCCCTCTCTCGGGGTCAAGACAAGGGAATCCTGGGCTTTTCTAATGCGGGTTTTGCTTGCGAAGGATGCAAATAGGAGGATGTAGCAGATGCCGAGCAAACACCGTCACCACATTGTGTTTCTTTTCTTCATCTCCCAATCCCGCCCTTCGTGAAATGGCCCATCAAGTCATGTCCAAGAGTGTCGATTATAGATAGAAAGCAAACGGGCTTGTCCCACCGTAAATGCCGTGCGTCGGGTTCCAAGCTCCATCGGCTCTTGTCAGACGTCCACCGGGACTGGATGTGCGGGCAAGCTGAAAGAAACAACTTGCATGTTTCTTGTCGATGATGGCCAGGCAAGGCGGGCAGCAGGTGACACAAATTCGAGGTCAGTCTATAGAGATTCTAGCGTGATCGTAGCAGGGGTCGAGGGGTATGCAGCTTATTTGTGTCAACATTCATAGAGCGCACCTTGACGTGCCGTAGACTGACAAGAGTGCTCCGTCAAACCTGGCTTGGAAGTGACATTCTGTCGCGTCAATGCTCTTCACACTCTCAAGCGTGTCATGGAGCCACGAGAGAAGCCTCTCGGCCGCTAAGCCATGCCTCCGATTACCCGCCAAACTTCCTATGACTCCAGAGTCAGCAGTTTGCATCGTCCCAGGCACGCGCACATGCTGGACAAGGCCTGCAAGTTAGTATCGTCAAGGCACGAATACCCGGTCACCCCATCAACTTACTTCGTACTACTACCAGGTCTATCCATGCTAGCACAACAGGAGTGGCAGATCCGTAGCAGGCCCGGATATAGACCCAATTTGGCTCCTTGTTCATTGCCTAGATCAAGTAACGGGCAGGCATGCTAGGCTTGGTGTAGATTCAGGCCTGTAAGTAAACCGCCTCTTCCCAACGTGGCCACTGGATCAGACAGCACCGCAGTGGCCCGGCATCCTTTCTGTGTGAAACGTTTACTCCGCGAATTACCAGTTGCGGCTACCAGCTGCCGGCAGACGAATCTGAACAATCGGTAGGTCTCGACCACCAGTAGACATCCCTTGCGAGGCGGACTGTCGCCGAGCCCAGCTCGGACGACGGCCGAGTCGCACATGCTTTGAAATCGGATGGCGGCTCTGATTGTCGCCGTCTTACACTTGGTTGACTTTTTGCGGCCTCGAAAAGACATCAAGACGTCAACACCCATTCCCCCCCCCCCCCCCCCCTGTGCTGTGCATACTGTACGCACATGGCACCAGCATCGTCGACGGTTAGTTGCTCTTCGGAACCACACACATCCGAGACTTCTCTATTATTGAACTCTCGAATTGCAGCGGCACAGCCGGGGGGGCAAGACGCAGTTTGATGCAGCCGACGCCTGCGAGCTGCTTCCAATCTACCGCTCTGTCGTTTCCCCCGATGGCCCTGTAGGCAAAGCCCTGCACAGGTAGCACTTTGGTAGCACAGTAGAACGCACTCGCCTGCATTCATCCGCCGTGGTAATTGTTCTCTATCTGCCCTGTTCCGCATCTGGGGGGGAGCAGTTTGAGCGCAAAGAGGAGCAGGCACCGAGTGCACGACACAAAGTCATGTGTCGCTCATCATGCGGCCGCCCGCACGCCCGCCCTCTTGATCCCTCCTCACGGGGGCTTGTGTGATATTCGAGAAGCAGCACAGCAAGGAACCGGACTGCTGGTTTGCCACGTAGCAGGCTGTAGCGATGCAGAGTAGAGTAGTAGGTAGCAGTAGCGGCAGGATATGCTGCATCACACCTGCACCGCCCTTGGTCTTGATGGAGCGCGCCGCCTGGGACCATTTTCGGTCTTTTGGAGCAAAACTCCGTCCAGGATGACACGGGCTCCGCATTGCAACCCCGTCGATCGACCGGCCGGGGCGCGCCGTTAACAGGAGCAAAGCGCACGGCCGCCAGCCGAGGTGTCATTGCTGGCCGAATGCGTCATGCCGCCGTCCTCTCTCATCCGAAGCTCCTCTGATCTCCTTGTATTCGCTGGCTACCCGAGCGGGTAAGGGAAGAGCAGAGGCAAGGGGGAGGAAAGAGAGAGTAGAGAGAGCGAGAGAGAGAGACGCAAGAAACGAGGGAGCAGAGCGGCCCCCTTGCTCTGCGTCCAGCCCATCCTCCAATGGCTCTCGCCAGCTGCTGCTGCTGCTCCATGGGCCTCGAGATTGCGAATCCACTTCCCACCGCGTCATTTTCCAGACTGTCGGGACGGAGGGGCGGTGGCCTGAGACATGGGTGTTCCGTACAGTGCGGCTGCGCCCTTCCGCGAAACCCGCCCGAAAAGACAGGCAAAAAGCAGCTAAGATGGAAGAGTGTGAGTGTGAGTGAGTAAGAGAGCGAGAGCGAGAGTAAGAGCAACGCCAGCGGTCAAGGGGGGGACGTTGTCGAATCAGCAAAGGCGGATGATTGAGAGCGACACTCCTCCAGTCGAGACACGGCACCGTCCATGTCCACCGCCTTGCAGCGGCTATAAACCTGCGGAGCGTTTGGCAGATCGGGGGGAGGGGGCTGTCGTTCTAGCGAGCGGGATCGATGGGCACATCAGGCGGCCCCGAAGCGCACCTCCGCCGGCTGGCTCAGCGTTGTGGGCACATCTGACACCTTATCTCTGCCTATTCCCGAGCCGATGCTGTCGTGAGCGCCAGCACCCAAGTCGACGGCTAGCGGGTTGGGCGAGGCTAGGTCCGTAAAGAGCAGTCTCCGGGCTTCGTACTCGTCTAGCAAGGCGATGGCGAAGTCGCAGAAAGATGAGCCAGGGACGCCCATTCTTTGCCCCGGCTCCCTGGTTTGGGCAATGAAATGGTACTTCCTGCTGCTGTTAGCGCATCTCTATCCGTACCGATCATGGTTCTCGAGCCTGGGCCGCAGCCCCAGCCGTTCCTGAGAGCTCTGGCGACCCCGGACCGCTCCAGGGGGGAAGCTCAACTGCCCGTATGTACCAGAGCCACAGCAATCATAGTGGTCTCCTAAGCGATGCGAATCCAGGCCAGCCATGTGCTGACCGCACCCTTGCGGCAAGCCATCTCGCATCGACTGGTGGTAACCACGAGCTGAACGGGACAACAAGACGCATGGCGACGATGCTCCTCCCTTCCCTGCACCACCTTGCTGGGTTGTCTCTCCGGCGTCAGCTGTAGACAGCCAGATGAGCAAGGCTGATTGCCGCAGCGAGGCAGAGGAGTGAAGACACTCTCTCGCACTCACCGTACAGTAACGACAGTCCGCCAACCTGCCAGCAAGCATTCGTCAACGGAGCAGAAACGGGCAAAGAGCAGCACAACATACCGCCGCACCAGCATGCCAGCTTGCTGCAGAAGCCAGGCCTTGGTGCCATCGTCTATGGGCCCGGCAAGGGCAGCCAGAGCGAAAAGAGCTTCTCCGCCAGCCCAGTATCAACGTAGCATCTGAGCAGCGCGTACAGTACAAGGACCGACAGCAGCATCCATGCGAGGAAGCAGAATGGCAACCTGGATGCTTGACAAAGACAAGGGGCAAAGCCAGCGGATGTACGCCTCGAGTGCCGCGGCC